CCTTCACCAGGGCGAATTTCTGGAAACCATTTTCCTGTTTGGTGGTGTTGCAGGATTGCCAGCTTCAATATTCGTGGTGAATCGCTGCGGCCGTAAACTGTCAATGATAATTTCCTCCTTCGTGGGATGTTTGTGCTGGATAATGATCCTCTGCACCTACAGCCTGCACGTGGTTTACGTAGCCCGATTCTTCAGCGGGATGGCTGGAAATATGGTCTTTATCGGAGCCCCCATGTATATAGCGGAAATAGCGGAACCTCGGATTAGAGGGTTTCTATCAGCCTCCATTTACACCATGATGTTGCTGGGGTTTGTGCTCGTTTACGCCGCTGGAGCTTTGCTACCCTTCTATGTGGTTCCATGCATGGGGATTGTGTTGACTTCTCTGCAGGTTTGTTCGCTTAGCATGCGCCACTAACTTGCTACTCCAAAAGTGATTTTTTAGGTTTTAATATTCCCTTTCATGCCCGAGTCTCCATATTTTTATGTGTATACGAATCGCGATGAAAAAGCCCATAAAGCTCTGGCGAGATTGAGATCGAACAGTTCGAACATCGACAAGGAAATCGAAGAAATCAAAATCGGCATAGAGAGGCAGAAGAGCGAAAAGGGCAGGCTGCAGGACATGATTTTGATCCGAAGCAATCGCTATGCGTTGTTTGTGATGCTGGTGCTGAACTGCACTCAGCACTTTGCAGGAATTAGCGTGATCCTGATGAATTTCCACTCGATTCTTGCAGAAGCTGGATCGATCTATGTGAGCACTGCTATATCAGCTATTTTCTTTGCAATTATTATGCTGACGGCCGTCACCTTGGCGTCCATGATCATGGATCGATTTGGAAGGAAATTCCTGCTGATCACTTCAGGACTGTTAACCGGAACAGCTCTTTTGATAATGACGATTTACTTCCACTTGAAAAACACTGGCCATGACGTCCAGTCCATCAGCTGGATCCCTATAGTCTGCATCATGTCTTATGCAGCGACATTTAAACTAGGACTGGGAATCGTCCCCATTGTGGTAACAGCGGAGATTTTTTCCTCCAAAGTTAAAGCTATGGGAATGACCATTGCTGACCTTTTCTACGTCCTTCCAGCCATCAGTTCCATTCACGTCTACTCGGTTCTAGTGGAAAATTACGGCATCCATGTACCGTTTTATGTGTTCAGTGCTTCCAGCTTCCTAGGAGTGATACTTATTTACCTCTACGTACCGGAAACCAAAGGAAAGACCTTGGAAGAGATTCAGCTGATGCTCAAAGGGCATAACAAGAAGCAAGTGGATAGTGATAAATTTGTGCGTACGGCACTAGTGAGCTGAAGAATAATAATTCAATTCTTATAGCAATAAGCAATTTAAAATAATAGGAAATATTGTTGTGGTTGCTCAGTGTACGCAACTGCAAACAAATGGATAATAGGTAACTTTGCCAACTTAAGCTAAGGTGCTTAACCAAAGTTTCTTCAAATCAAGGTGATATTAATTAAAAACGTGGTTATATAAACAAATTGTCATGGCAATAAAATATCTTCATGTTTCTCCATTTTCTCTTGTGTGTCCAGCATTTGATTTGAATACAATAGCGAAGATTGAAGAGATTGAAACACTTACCACTTTTGTAAATTTCTTCTCGTCTCAAAATGTATGAGCAAAACTTCAAGGCAGTTACTTATATAGTCGACTACCTTGTACGTACGAAGGGGAGAAAGACTATAAGAACAAAGCTCTATCTATGGTCAAAGTCGGAAAAGATAGCAAAGCACCTTGTGGATCGAATGCTCTATTTGAAATACTTTGATTTGCCTTAGGAGCACACAAAACACAAAATTTCATCAACAATTTGAACATTTTCACATCGACTCCAGGGTTCCTAAATGTGAGCCAACAATTTAACAACCTTTGTTATAAGAGTCTCGAAAGAAATATTTTAAAGTCTTATTCAACAGCATTAAACAGAACTAGTAGAGCTGAAGCACACAACACTTGCTGCTTTGCAATTACCTTTGTACCATCTGTAGCCCCCATTGAAACCCTAATAAATTGGCAGGCGTATGAAAGCGATTATTCACCTGGTCGACTACATTCTATGTACGAGGGGTTAAATTATATTGCTAAAGTGACTCTATCTGTTCGCATTGATATAAAGATTGGTGAAGCAGATTGTCAATTCAGGCGCTCTGTTTATAACATTTATGAATATATTTGGAAAAACATTATCTCGGTAGCAGAAGGACATGAAGTAAATATTCAAAATTTGCAGCCACTGCAGAATTAATAGATTTGATGGTAAAAGTGCAAGTTGCGCTTACAACCTTCTGCTTAAACTGAAGTTATGTGGAGTTCGACAAAAGAAGGAAATAAACTATTGATTTTTTATTTATTTTCCTGACTGCATGTAATTGTTATGATATTTTTTCTGTCCTGGGTTTTAGTCAAACTGTGAAATAAAAATGTTCATATCGTTTAATTCATATTACGTTTCGGCGAGACACAGCGCCATCATCAGATTTAAAATCTGAAACAAACCCATAATTGGGAAACATTAGATTTTTTATTATAATGAAACTTAGAGAGATTTAGAGTTATAAATAGAAAACAAATTCCTGGGTTCCAGTCAATTTCATTGTTTATCATTTAAAATGTTACAAATACTAATTAATTAAAAACTTAATACTAAGTTGTTTTCAGTTTTTTCTGTTATAGTGATATTATGCGGTTTTAAAAGATTTTTTTTTATTTTTGTGTTAATTTCTGGAATATATGGTTAATTATTATCAGAAATTAACACAAAAATAAAAAATATTTTAAAACCGCATAATATCACTATAGCAGAAAAAACTGAAAACAGCTTAACAAAAGAATGTTTCAAAAATTTAAGCCTAAAAGTGATAAGTTAAACACAACTAATGTAATATACAAGATTGACTGTTTGAACTGTGACAGCGCATACATAGGTCAAACAGGACAATATTTAAAGAAAAGAATATACGAACATAAACATAGCTTAAGAAAGTTAACGAAAATGGAACAGCATTAGCACAATATGCGCAAGAAATGTTACATAGTTTTGATTTTGATAACACAAAAATATTAATCAATGAAGACAATTATAATAAGAGAAGAATCCATCAAATGATACAAATTAAAAAAACATCATAATGCAGTGAATTTTAGATCAGATCTTAGCTCTACATATCATACACTAATTAAACGAACACCTATATACACTAATTAAACCAACGACATAAAATATGAACACCTGGTATATTGAAGAAATGCAGACCAAATGATATTGGTTTTCGCTCGATATTGGACCAAGTAAAGATTTTTCAATGGTTTGCCAAATGTGAAGGTAGAAACAGCCATACATGTAAATAAAATTTAAATCTCTAAACAATAAATTCTAGTCTTTCCCGAACATGATTGGCCCGACTCATCACCTGTAATCTCAAGAGATTCAAACGATTTTAATATGTTTGTAATTTGTATTTTAGTATGTATATTTTAACAGAGCTCTTGTTTTACGATGACGACTGTGAATGTATATTGTAGACAAACTGATGATGATGGAAAAAAACACCGAAACGTATTTGTAACATTTTAAATGATAAACAATAAAATTCACTGAAACCCAGAAATTTCTTTTCAATTAAGTTGAAATACAGTCAGGCAAATATACACAGTTATAAATAGACTTAGAGAGAATTATTATAAATAATCTAAAGTTTCCCAATTAAGGGTTTGTTTTAAATTTTAAATCTGGTTAAGTTTTAGGCCATGTTTATGGCGCTGTTGTCTCGCCGAAACGTAATATGAAATAAAAGATATGAACATTTTTATTTCACATTTTGACTGAAACCCAGGAAAGAAAAAATATAATAAACTATTGAGTATTAATATTCACGCAAAGGAACTTTCATTTCGGAAATTGAAGTATTGCTAATATTTGTTTCACCGTCTTAAACAAAGCCAGCACAAAACGTTTGCCAGTTTTGCAATTATTTATTGGTCTGTGCTTCAATAAGTTTCGAAGTGATTCCTCCAAATCCCGTGTAAAACGCGAAAAAATTGGCAATCCGTCCGTATAAAGACACTTTGTAGTATTCATCTGGTCGACTACATTGTATGAACGAGGGGGATCAGTATTATTGCTAAAGACTCTATCTGTTCGCATTGACTAGTTTTAATTAAGAACATTCTTAATAAATAAGCGTTATATATAATATTTTAAAATGCATTTGGAAAAGATGTACTGCCATAGCGAAAAAATATCAAATAGATTGACAAAGTTTGCCGCTGCTGCACATTTATTAATTTTAGTGGGTAAAAGTTAACTTTTTTAGGGGATTTTATATGGAGATCGACCAGAACCGATGATAACTCAGTCTTAAAGTTCCAGAAAAGTATTTGTTGCACATCCCTAAATCGATCTAACTAACTACTAACGAACTAAATAGGTACCCGAACGAAGCACTTACCCTAAACAAACTGGAATATTATGATCGACCGCACGCATAAAGACAGTGACTTCTTTGGTCAACTACGTTCTGTATACGAGGGGATAAATGTTCATATCTGTTGTCATTATTGAAAGGCTTAATACGGTACTTTCTCAATAGAAAGATTTAGTTTAAAATATTTTAAATTGATGTTGAAGAAAATTCAGGGCGAAAACTGGAAAATAAAACGAATTGTTTTAATCGACTGAAGTTCGAATCGACAGGCATTTTATATGTAAGGTGTTTACGCAGGAGTTTTGTTTGCAATGTTCAATATTTCTTGACATTCATTTCAAAATTAGCATTTTTCAGAAAACACTCTTTAGAATCACTTCAGATAATTAAATATTGCTAAGATTCTATATACGAGTGGATCTATCTGTTCCCATTGGCTAGAGACTGAGTACGGCACATTCAGTAGAAACGGTGTATTTATAATATTTTAAAATGTACAAATGTTGCTAAAATTTCGTTCGTCTATTAATCATTTATCTAAAAATTATTTTTTTTGCACAAACCCGTTTCAAACTGGAATAAATTGGCCAATTGCGCGATTAAAGGCAGATATTCAGTTGGTCGACTAGTTCTGATGTACGACGGGATAAATTATATCTATAAATTTGCTAGCAATTGTTGCCATTCTTCATAAATACAGTCAAACACATTCGCTATAAAGAAGTTGTTTATAATATTTAAACATTCTGAATAATCCACCTGTAACGTGTTTCTTTGTTGTTGTGTTGTTGTTATTCAATATGTTATCTTCATTCATTTTAATTGATGTTTGTTCGCAACATAAAGGAAAACGTTTAATAATTTTAAAACTAAAAGGGTTATAAAAAGACAATTTGTTGGTTCCGTATAATAATAAGATACATTAATGTTTAATTAATTAAAACCTTTTGGCGATAGAAATATTGCTCTCTTGTTCCATGAGAATTGCAAAAAATAAGAAGTTACGATAATTTTCTAAGAAATTATACCGAGCTTATAATCCGCAATTCAAAAACACATTTTCCGGAATAAGCGGGATTGAATAATATGATGAAGCAAGTGAAAAACGCGAAGAAAATTAAGACAATGTTCTAGTAACATATAAAATTGGCGAAATTTTCTAAAATGTAAGCCAAAAAGAGTTTTACTAAAACTAAGAAAAAAATGAAGTGACATTAAAATGCGCTTCTGGAAAAATGAAGCTAATTAGAATATCTAAAAAGCGAAACGTTGTGTGTAAAAAAAACAAGTGTTTGAAGAGCTTATGAGCTTATAAAAGCATTTTTTGCTTACTCGAAGTTTATTTTCCTTTGAAGATATTCAGATAACAGTCAAAGAACGAGAGAAACAATCAGACAGTGAGAAATATTAAACCTAAAATCAGTATTAGGAAGAGATCTAAATGCCTCCTAATTGTGACTTACTATCAATTTTAAAATATAATAAAAATTACACATAAAAATTAATAAAATCAATTGAACTTTTGACATCAGAGTAAAAGATATAAATTGTGATTCATTTCATTTTTGGAGCGTTTCGCATTATAAATACATACTAAGATTCTGTAGACAAAATACAAACATGCTCTACTTTTCATTTGCCATTGAAGATAGCGATTTTAAAACATTAACACAATGTCCTTTCATAGCTTGATGTTAACAGACGAAAAGCACGGATTCGTTGTAAATGTTGGCAAAACAATCATTATCTCAAATTACATGTTGATTGCGATGTAAAATTCACGTTATTTGATTTAACATTTTTAAAATATTCAGTTATTAATTACAAAGCAATATTTATAACTCAATTGGATAATGTTTGAACCTTTTAAGCATCTTGTGTGTTCCAGGCGTATTTTCGTTGGTGAAAATGGAACACGAGGTGTTACATAAAAAGTGGATAAATCAGGAATCCAAAAGAGTTAATTTCTTTAAAAGTTATATAGAAAAGGCGAAACGTTCTTTAAATTGAAAAATATTTAATAATTTTAATAGAACCTTTTTTACGAATAAACGATCAACTACACTTTTATTTATCTAGTTTGTACATATTCCTATGAAAACTAAGAGTGGGAAAAGGTCATTAATCATCAATATCAGGATAAAATGTAGGTAAACAGATAGTTAAATGTTTGAATGAGTTTCAATTAACATAAACATTTTTACCTGTTAGTGTATCTTTTTTTTTGTTAAAAGAATTTGGAAACATTTGGTGTCTAACATTAAATGTATTAGAAATTACTATCCCGTGGGTTTATACTGGTATACTGGTGGTACTAATATCGCTATCAAAAAATATATAAAAAGGTACACAATGAGGAAGGTTAAGTAAAATCAACCATTTTGTCTCTCCAGAATTCACTATAACTTAAAACAATGCGTCATTTATAATAAAAATCGATTAAAAAGTTTCATTATGTATATTAACCACACCATAACAATGTACAATAAAACTCACAAAATTTACAGCATTTTATGGGTTTTATTATCGGTCTTGCGATTGTGTTGAACCTAAGTATGGCATAAACTTGTTGTATTGAACGGCCTGCAAACATCAGAGGAAAATTTACATCAAATTGACGACGAATGCGACTATAAAAACTCACTTTGCATTCCTCAGCAAATTCAGCAAAAACTTTGTCGGGCCTTACAACAATCGTCTTTGCATTTTTTACTGTCAGCTAGCTTTTGCGGGGCGGCAAAAGCCAAAGCTTGAACAAAAATCAACTTCAGTTACTAGATGAAAAGAGATTGGGTTTCACGACCGTTGCTTGAAAGTGATATGTTTTTCGGGCTTTTAGGCCCTCGTGGGAAATAATTTAGCAGCAGATGAAGCACGAATGCCTTACGAAGCTTCCGGAAAGAATTATTTTCCACGAAGACCTAAAAACGCGAAAAACTGATCAGTTTCAAGTTACTGCTGTTCAATAAACGCTGCCAAAAATTGCACTATCGAGTTGCAAACTTTTAGTATGAAAAATTCAAAAAAATATATTAAAAATAATTAACTGGTACTTACCGCATACGCACAATACCAAAGCGAAGAGAGCAAAAAATTTCATATTGGCTGGTTTAGGTTTGCGTGATGCTGCTGTTGTTTCGGAAAAACCACATCAGCATCTCTTTCTATATATTTTTTGATATCAACTATAAGTTCAATATAGGCTAAACGAATGTTGTCATATAAGTGTTTTGCGAAGTAAAGCAGGACCGTTTTTCGAAGTAAAGCAGGGCCAGTTTCGAGCGGTCAGATTCATTTAAATTAAACGGTTTCAAAACCAGATGAAGAACTGGAATGCTGCTTAAAAGAAAATTAGTTAATATACTAAATAAATGTATCCAAACTCGCAAAAATAATCACAGAATCAAAGTACAAACAACTGGTTAAAGAAGCAACTGTGAGACCCCCCTGGAAATCTTTGTTTGTTTTCAATTAACATCGATGTTTAATTACCATAAACAAGATTTTCTTGGGAATTCTGTCTGTTTGTAGGGAGCCTTTAGTTGACCTCATTTTCCAATATATCAAAACAATACAATATTTCACATGGTAACAGCAAGAGCTCAAAGATTCAGTTCAACGTTGAAAATTATTGCTTTCAATTAAAAATTCTAGAATAATAATAGTAAAATAAAGATTATGAATGAAAATTGAGTTTTACTTCTTCAGCTTTTGAACCGATTGAAATGTTCACACATTTTTATGAAAATAATAAGTGGAAAAGTTTTAATTAATGAAAAAGTAGAGTTTTTCAAACTGTAATATATTTTTTTTTGATAATCTGGAAAAAATGCATTTAAAATGAAATATTTTAGAAATTTCCTTCCCGCGGGTTTCCAGTGAACTTTCCTTCTAGACCGCGTAGAAAGTTGAAATTTGCTCACTCTATAGAACCTACATGGAGCTGCGAATCCTGAAATTTCCTTTCAAATCTCAAGGATTATGATTTTTTGCAACTCTGATAATGACGGGTTAAATGAAGGATTTTTTAAATGCGCTTAACTTCCTTCCTTTTAACTTCCTAATGAAGGATTTTTTAAAATGCGCCTTCTTATTTGAAAATTCGTACTATTCAATCTAGATCCGCTAGAAAGTTATAACTTGCTCACCCAATAGGATTTACTTAAAGGTAAAAATGGTTAAATTTGCACTAGCATCACAGTTAAATCTGATTTTTGGCAAGCTTGTAAATAACGGTCAAAAAGTAATTATTTTTTCTCAGCTACGCGCCATTTTTAGTAAATTTCGTAATTTGTCACCTAGGGCGAGTGAGAGTTAAACTCAAACCTGCCTGAAGAATCTGAAACTTCTACAAAAACTGCGGTAAATCCTGATTTTTGGCAAAACATTCGTAACTTTCAAAATAGAACCGCTAGCAGATTAACATTTTATCACCCTGTAGAACTTATATATAGCTAAAATTTTTGCAAAATTTTCAGAAAATTTCAATTTTTAGGAAACGCAAATGGCGGGATAAAAATGAAAGATTTTTCTCAATGGCGAGTTTGTATTTAAAAATTCGTATTTTTCAATCTAGAGCCGGTAGAAAGTTGAAACTTGCCAAGAACTCTGAAATTTTCCCAAAAAACCACAGTACTTATTTCATCTTATCAAAAAAAATATAAATATATGAAAAGGTAAGGTACTATCAACCATTTTGTCGCTCCAAAATTCACTGTTTAAACTATTCCAACTTAAAGTAATGGAACGTTTATAATAAAAATCGATTGGAAGGTTCCATATTACGTATATTAACCACACCAGAACAATGTATAATAAAACTCACAAAATCCACCGCATTTTATGGCATTTACTTTCTGATCTTGCGATTATGTTGTCAATTAACCATTCTCTGAAGTTGCTGGTTAATACCTGAATTCGTTTTTATTCCATACTTTGGTTTCACAATGATGAACGGCCTAACAAACATCAGTGGAAAATTAGCATCAAATTGACGACGAATGCAATTAGAAAAACTCACTTTGCACTCTTCGGCAGTCTGTTTGTCCTTGCACCAATAGCTTGGGCCTCTGGTGCATCTTTCACTGCCACCCTGCTTTTGCTGCTGAGGGACGGCAAACGCCAATGCTTGAAGAAAAATCAGCTTAGGTTACTGTCATGAAAGAAGTTTGGCTATTGCGACTTGAAACTGGTGGGTTTTTCGAGCTTTTAGCCCGACGTATAAAAGCATTTCTTGCTGACATTTCTCAAGCACGAGTGGCTTGCATCTTCAGAGGTGGTTTGCGACGGTTGATGCTCGAAAAACCCACCAGCTTCTATTCTATCTTCTAGTCAATAACTAATAAAAATAAATAAGTTACTATTGGTCAATAAACAGAGCCAAAATTTGCACGGTCGAGTCGCAAAGTTTTAATATGGAAAATTAAAACATTTAAATTAAAAAACTTAACTGGCACTTACCGCATACGCACAAAACCAAAGCGAAAATAGTCAAAAATTTCATGTTGACTGGTAAATTTTCGCGATGCTGAGTACGTCGAAGACAATGTTGTTTTGAAAAATCCACATCAGTGTCCCTTTATTTATATTTTTTCAAATCAATTACACTAAATTAATGCTGCCGCTTAAGTCTTTTGCGAGGTAAATCAGGACCGGACTGGTAATTGCCAGATAAATGGAGATGCAACGGCCAGGTTCACTTCAATTAAACGGTTTAAAAACCAGATAAAGAACTGGGCCGCTGCTTAACAACAAATTAGTTAATATTATGCTAAATAAATGTTTCCTGTCTCAAAAGTGCGTTAATTTTTTTATAGTATACTATACAGGGTGTACCTGAGAAAACGGTACAACGCTTAACCACAAATTTCTTACGCGCAAATAAGAAGATCTAGTCAAACTTATTTACATCCGATGTTGATTCGTTTAAATTAAGGCGAGTCGACTGACCGTTTGATACACGAATTTTTCAAAAATTCGCCAAGGAAAAACCAAAAATTCCTGAATGCGACCGATAACATCACTCTAAAGAGAAAATCAAGTGCTTTAAGGGAGGAACTCACTTGACTAGGAAATTTTTGCGGGTTTCCAGGATATTTTCAGTTACTAAAGGGAAGTGATTGGCCGTTGGTACAGATAGACGAGCTATTAAAAAAAACTGTCAAGGAAAAACCAAAAACCCTTCAAGTCTGCCCAGAATATCGCTCGAAAGAGAAAATCTGCGGCTTTAAATGAGGAAAACCTCACTTTAATACGAAATTTCTGGGAGTTTTCAAGATTTTTTCAGATAGTAAATCGAAGCGATTGGTCGTTGGACAACACGGATTTTTAAAAAAATGTACCAGGAAAAAAGCAAAAATCCGTCAATCCGGCCCATAATATAACTCCAAAGCGAAAATCCGCTGCTTTATGTGACGGAAAACTGACTTTAATTGGAAATTTCTAGATGTTTCCAGGATGTTTTCAGTTACTAAGGGGAAGCTTTTGGCCGTTGGTGTAGATAGACTAGCTTTAAAAAAATTGTTAAGCTTAAATATTATCCAGACTATCATTCGACTCATTCGGCTTTAAATGAGGAAAACCGCACTTTACTAGGAAATTTCTGGGAGTATTCAGGATTTTGTCAGATACTTCAGTTCGTTGGACAACACGGATTTTTCAAAAATTCACCAAAAAAAACAACAAATTCCTGAATGCGGCCCAAAACATGAATCGAAAGAGAAAATCGGCTGTTTTAAGTAAAGAAAAACTCACTTGATTAGGAAATTTCTGGGAGTTTTCAGGACGTTCTCAGCTACTAATGGGAAGCTATTGGCCGTTGCTATAGATAGACCGATATAAAAAAGATTTGCCAAGTAAAAACCAAAAATATCTCAACCCTGCCCAGAATATCACTCGAAAGAGAAAATCTGCGGCTTGCAACGCAGAAAATCTCAATTTAATGGAAAATGTCTTGGAGTTTTCAGGATTTTTCAAGATATTAAATCGGAACTATCGGAAAACACGAATTTTTCAAAAATTCGTAAAAAAAAACCTAAATTTCTAATTGCCACCCATAACATCGAGTGATGTTATGGTTGTCGAGTGAAAGAGAAAGTCGGCTGCTTTAAGTTGGGAAAAACTCATCTGATTAGGAAATTTCTGGGAGTGTTCCGAATGTTTTCAGTTACTAAGGCGAGGCGATTGGCCTATCAAAAACACGAATTTTTCAACTTCACTTTAATATCAAATTTCTGGGAGTTTCCAGGATTTTTTCAGCTATAAAAAGTTTTATTATTGCTATTTTGTTAAATATTTAATAAACAAATTCGGCTAAAATTCAAATTATTCATGAATCTTTAAAACGCAATCCTATTGGTTGTGACGTCTCTGGTCATATAAATGGCGGATTGTTTACGTTCTGTGTATTGTGTTTCATTAATTATTTTGTGGATTTAAATAATTTATAGTTTGTGTTAAACTAAAAAATTTAAGGGTGTCAAAGCAGCAGCGTAAGTAAAAATCTCTAAATTCATATATCAGTATTGGTTTAAATTAGGTAAATAATATATAGAATTTCACTTATTTAACTTAACCTAACCTATACACATAGCTGCTTTAAAAGTAAAATGAACTCTTGAATTTGTATTTTGGGCATCGGGAGAACAATATGGTGTGCCCCATATCGGATATGTGGAATTGAAACGCGAGGGTTCTTTGTGCACTATACAAGGTAGAATTTGCCCAGAACACAAAGTACGATCGAAGGCATATTCTGTCTGCCACATCATCAGCTTTTTGTTCGTACTTTCATTAAAATGATCCTCGCAACAAGAAAACATTGATTTTGATTTAGGAACATCACGTCGAGCTGCTTTGAACCATAAAACTTTACGTGCATAATCATGAGGAACGGTTGGAAAGAGTTTGTTTGGAGCACTTATTGAAGTATTCTTGCATCCTGGCACAAAACACCACTTATTTTGCGATCCATACATGTCGCTCTTTTCGATTATGCTAGATAATAATAATAATCAATAAAATATTGATAATCACAATAACTTAAATAATAAAACAAAGCTGCGAAAGCAACAAAATAAACACGAGACACTTTGTTGATATGACCTGCTACGTCACAATCGGGATAGGCAACCGATGATATGGATTCAATTATATGATATGATATATCAACATTTAAAAAAAAAGTGAAAACACCCTATTACCGGTCTCTACAATAACAGCATGAGCGTAATGCTAATTCACTATAACTTAAACTAATGGGGCACTAATAATAAAAATCGATTCGAAAGTTCCATTATGTATATTAACCACACCAAAACAATGTATAATAAAACTCACAAAATTCACTGCATTTTATGGCATTTAATTTCGGTCTTGCGATTATGTTGACGATTAACCATTCAGCTGCCTGAATTAGTTTTTATTCCATACTTTGGTTTCACAATGTTGAACGGCCTGCAAACATCAGTGGAAAATTAACACCAAATTGACGATAAATGCGAATATAAAAACTCACTTTACATTCTTCGGCAGTCTGTCTGTCCTTACACCAATAGCCAGGGCCTCTGGTGCATTTTTCACTGCCAACCAGCTTTTGAGGGACGGCAAAAGCCAAAGCTTGAAGGAAAATCAGCTTAAGTTACTCTGATGAAAAGAGTCTGGATTTCGCGATCTTTGCTTGAAACCGCTGGGCTTTTCGCGCTTTTAGACCTTCGTGGAAAATAATTCAGCACCAGCGCCTTGCAAAATATCATTATTTTCCATGAGGGCCCTAAAAGCTCGAAGAACTTTAAAGTTTCAAGTTACCATTGGTAATTAAACGAAGCCAAAAATGTACAGTTTGGCTATAAAAAATTTAAAAACTAGTAAAAAATAACTGGTACTTACCGCATACGCACAAAACCAAAGCGAAGATAGCCAAAAATTTCATGTTGACTGATTTAAGTTTTCGTGATGCTGATGACTTCGAACTTCGACTTGTTTTGAAAAATCGCATCAGTGTCTCTTTATTTATATTTTTTCAAATCAATTACACTGAATGAATGTTGCCACATAAGTGTTTTGCGAAGTAAAGCAGGACCGGACTGATAATTGCCAGTTAATTAAGATTCAACGGCCAGATTCACTTCAATTAAACGGTTTAAACCCCGATAAAGAACTGGGTCGCTCCTTAAGAGCCAATAAGCTAATATTAGTCTAAATAAATATATTCTGCGTTTTAGCTATTGTATGTTCTTTTTAAAATAGTATTATCCAACCCTCATTTCCATCGGTTTTTCCAAACAGGCAAAAATTATCACATAATCCAAGTACAAACAACTGATTAAAGAAGCAACTGTGAGACCTCCCTGAAAATCTTTGTTGATTTTCAATTAACAACGATGTTTAATTATCTCTCGCGTATTCGTAGAACGTCTGGTTCAACTTTGTCAACTAAAATTACCATAAGCAAATTTCAACAACAAGATTTTCTCAGGAAATCCACCTATATGTGGGTAACCTTTAGTTGACCTCAGTTTCAAATATATTCTAATATAAAAAAATATTTCATTGTCTCAGATAGCAACAGCAAGAACCGAAAGATTTAGTTCAACGTTAAAAATATAATAATAAAATAAACATTAAATCAAACGTTTGCAATCCTAGTTCTACAGCTTTTGAGCCAATTGAAATTTAAAAAAAATGTAAATTTCTCTTAATAAATGAGTTGCTACTGCAAAAGATATTAAATCGTTTAATGTCCTCAGTAAATTTTATGGTGTTTTTACAGCGCGCAAGGATTGACAATAACATTGATAAACAACGGCCACAAGGTGGAATGAGCTGTAAATTTCACAATCACTGTGTATTGTTCCTTAAAACATAAATAAACCCAAACAATATGCAGTTTTGAATGCAATTGAAGAAACTACGCATTTTTGAATTAAGTGCATACAATGGTAAAGCCATTGTCGTCTTAATTTTCCATTTAAAATAAAAATGTTCATGGGGCTTGCAAAACATGTTAACTAGGCTTCTCTGATTCATGTGCTTTGCCCAAAATTGAACCGTAAAACTAACTCAAGTGCAAAATTAAGGCCCGTTGGCTAAGTCGACCTGGAGAGTGAAAATGGTGCACAAAAGCGACTGAAAAACACGTTTAAAACTGCAGATTTAAATGCGAAATTTACTCGTTGCCTTGTGTTGTATACAACAATCGAATAAGCAAATATACAGCAACAAGCCAATAATATTAGCAAAAACACACATAATTTTTATTGATTATTTTTTCATTTTGCCTAAAAGCGTTTCAAACGTGAGATACATTTATGCGATTTTTAGGAGACATTAAACATCCAAAAAGGATTTTCACCTTTCATGGCACCTACTAGACGATTTGATTTATTTATTAATAATTAACATTATTTATTAGCTGTTCTACATTTCCACTACACCTACATATAAGATGGGTAGATAAGTTTTTTACTACATTCAGTTTTAGTAAATGCTCATTTACTCGCCCAAAATCGCTAAAAGCGACTACTGCATTCAGTTTCTAGTCATTGTTTGAAATATCTACTTAATTTAGAATTAATCTCCAAACAACTAAACTGCAAATATCCGAAGCACCAATGAATGTAGACTTACACTAAGAGACCATTTTTTAAGGAAAAATATGTACAAACACCAATTTGGCTATAAATAATTATTACAACAACACTATTAGAATATATGCACATTTAAACAGGATTTGAATATGCCTGAGATCGCGCTCTTCAATGTGCACAGAAAAAAACACATTTAATTTTTTTGACTATTTTAAAGTTCGATTATCATCACAAAGAATAGTTAAAAAAAACGATACCCACAAAAAAATGCGTTTTATACTGCTTTCTGAACAAACGATAACATATTTGCACATCCTTAAAAATCATATGGACCAATGTAAAAAAAAACTGCCCATCTCTTTAGAGAAATATTTAAGGGAAAATTGCCATTTCTCGAATATTTTGAAAACATTTTTGTAAATTTACCGTTTACAAAAATTCATTATGAGAAAAAGCGAATATAATTTAACAAAAAAAATCAAAATGCATTTTTGAAATAACACACACGCCGTACAACCACCCGAAGCTGTTTCCTTTTCTAAAGATCCTCTCATATAAAAACAATTTATTTATAAAGCTACGATATTGAGGGTAACGTACGCGCATGTGTGCGTGCTCGCGTTTGTATTCATGTGTTCGTGCGCTTGCATTTAAGAATTCAAGTGTTTTGAATAATGTGTTTTAATACACTTGGACCAATCAATTTCGGGTTAGCGTTAGTATCGTATAAATAAAAACGCGTAAAATATTGCGTTACATGAAAACAACAAACAAAACCGTTCCATGTTCAAGACTCTGAAACAATGTAGGTATTCACCAAGTTATGTGATCCGGAAGCACATCAATCAATTGACATAGGTATATTTACCAAAACTGCTGCTAAATATACACTTTTTTCGCTCGAAAATGCTTCAAAACACATTTTTTCAATTTAAACTGCATATTAACACAAGAGTTTTGAAATGACAAGATACTACCTGTCATGCGTTGGCTTCCTTAGAGATCCTTTCCGCATCTGGACTATCGAAATTGAGTTAATTACCTAAAAATAACTAAGACAGTCAAACCGCCGCCTAATTATAAAATCTATTAACTCTATATTTTGAGAGCAAGCATTTGGGAGGCTAGTGAGAGAAATAATCCATAATAATTCATCCACTTGCGAGCGCAGATACTCGCACTCTATCTTAACCCCATATTTTCTGACACTACAGCATTCCATCAAAAACCATAACAATCAACACTCCTAAATAGTGATATTTCCTGGCTAGTTTAAGCAATTTTCCCACATTCCAAGCAAATGTCGCGCTCCACTCGGTTCGATACCAAAAAAGTGAATTCAGAACTGGTAACTCTAACCTATGGCACCCTGGTGGCTCAAATGGTCAAAGACTTGGAGAATCCAGACGATGTTAGCAAACAGTTGGATCGCATCGGCTACAACATGGGAATTCGCCTGATTGAAGACTATCTTTCCAAGACCGGCTCAGGACGATGCCTGGACCTCAAAGACACCGCGGACAAAATACAGACAGCATTCCGGATGTATTTGGGCGTCCAGCCAAATGTGGTCAACTGGAGTCCGGCAGGAGACGAGTTTTCCTTCAGTCTGGACAGCAACCCTCTGACAGAACTGGTGGAACTACCAGACGATCTCAAACAGCTGAAGTATTGCAACATTATTTGCGGCGCTATCCGGGGCGCTTTGGAAATGGTGCAACTTGATGTGCAAAGCTGGGTGGTCCAAGACCAGCTGAAAGGGGACCCAAATACTGAAATTCGAGTCAAGTTCATTAGGAGATTAGAGGACGCAATGCCAGCCGGAGAGGACTAGGAGGCCCGATGCGATGTGCAATAATTAGCTGTATTTATTTGCCATGTATTTTCAATAATGGAAAGACTCTATTAGGATGTAAGTAGTACACCTTTCCCTATTAAAATATTATTGTGTCATTATTGGTTTAACACCAACGGTTGGATATTGACCTCCTGGTAGAACTCAGTTAGTGGTTGCTGCCACCTTTTCTCAAAGTAAATGTTCAGCAAAAACTCAGCAGATTGGCCAGTTTTGAGCGCCCAGGGCAAATAGCTACTCAAATACAACTGTCTATGCTTAGTTTTGAGCCTCAGAGGCCCAAAAACCGCCCCACTGATGCACATGGGCAATTTAAACTGCAGCGCCTCCACCCACTTCACTGTAACTTCGCCCAACATGTTCGTGGGCATCTGCAGAACGGTGTGAATCAAATCATGTGCTTCTCGATATCTTTGCACCACATAAGCAAGTTCTATATTATCCACGAATTGGACAGTCATCCTACTATCTGGAGTAACTCTGTTCTTGACCAGGAAGCTGTAGTAGGCGCCTCCTAGAGTATCTGCTGGTAATTTATGCAACTTGTCCAAGTCTACAGTGGTGGTGTTTATTCTCGGTCGATCCCTCAATATCTGCTGTCCCTCTTCTGACTGTTCCATGCAAGTTTTCATGTATCTCAAGGCTTGGTCGCCAGTGGTCTCCGCCAGGCAGGCAATCATATCGCCTCTATGCGGATTCAGAATCGATATTGCAGCCGAGCCCACTGTGAGCAGCGATCTTTGGAAGAAATTTGTGGGGCAATGGTGCTTTTCGAAGTCATCTTCAAATCTACTGCCAGCACCAGAACAAAGGGGTCTCTTCAGTGCCATTCGGCAGGGTTTGGGAACGGAAAGTAGGAGCTTCATTTGGTTTTTGTAAAAAGGGGGCCCTTTTACATAATGGTTGTGGATTTGTTTACCAACACCGACTGATAGGTGCCAGAAATGTTGGGTTAAATGTTCCGCTTAGTGCACTGATGCCAGACCGCTGCTTAAGAGATTTTAACAGGGATTTTGGCGAATCGCAGATGTTGCCCAGGGCTAATTTGAGAATCCAACGGTGAAATAGACGGAAAATGGTGTAGAATTTATGTCGAGGAATTCGTTAAATTATCCAATAAATGTGATGAATGTTGACTTTGTAGCAACAGCGCAAACAACAAGAAGTGGAATTTTGGTTAGAATCTACAATGCCAAGTGATGTTTGTTAGTGACCCAAACAATGTTCTCAAACCGCTAAAAAGCTGAATAAAACAGTCCAACCGCTGGAATTCGCAATGTACCGCACAGATAAACAGTTTATGAAAAACCCTGCAACTGCACCATCCCGAATTTATATCGGGAGCATTCCAAAGACCATAATAGCTGATGATTTGGAGGCAAAGTTTTCCAAATATGGCAAAATTTTGGGTCTAGTGATCAATTCCGGGTTTGCTTTCATTCAGTACGAGTTTGAGAATGAAGCTCAGAGTGCTATTAGGATGGAAAATGGCGCCGTAATGATGGGACGCAAGATTACAGTTCGACAATCTTTTGCTGGAAAAGACAGTGGAGCTCCACCGAATAAGAGTGCGGTGCCAGTTAAAGTGGACCCTCCGCCGCAAGGCCGGGAAAATGATCCTGCTGGAGGCAACAACAGGATACAAGAGGATAGAGGCATGCAATTTGAGCCCCCTGATGAACCCAAGAAACCCATTGACACTCAAACGAAGGTAGGCCTGATAAATACATTGAAAAATTGACTGGTTTAATCAAGGCTGCTTCATATTTCCATAAATACTAAAATACTCATGCTAATAACAGTGTGTAAGAAAATGCGATAGTCTTTGGATCAAAAGGAGACTATCTGACCTAACTTTTACCGAGAAAAAATCTCTTGCTCTTCTGCGATTGATGGTCAAAGTTCTTCAAGAAAATTATGCTTGTTGAAATATCAACAGAATGGTACGATGGATTTTAGTGAAACTCGCTCTGAACTTGTTCCTATGTTGGGATGAAGAAACCGATCCACTTTGGGCAAGTCGTGAGTGTCTTGGTACAGAAACCACCAGAAATGGTGATTCTTTAATATTTTTGAGCTTTTGGTAGGCTACTTTTTACAGAAAAAAATTATTTACGTTCTTTTGCCAACGGACAATTTTAGTATCTACTCCTAGGTAGGAGCTATAATTCTGGTTGATATGTCCGGATAACTAAAAAATTGGATTTCTGTAATTCTATGACTATTATCTCTGTTTATATGATGTACATTGTACATACACTCCCGATTTGGGCCTTTCCTGCGAAAACCAGATCATTTCAAGTTAATACAGAAAAGTGCATATTATGACCATATTTGATTAAGGCTTATTACTATACGCACTAATCGTCACTAATTTCGTTTGATAAACGCAAGATGGAAGAAGTAGATGACGGCCCCCCGATCCGGCCTACGCAGCAAAGTTTCAACGAAGATAGAGGTAGAAGAAGCGGACCAATTGCGGTTAGAGGTAGAATCCGGCCAAGGGAAGGATTTGACCCGTTTGAAAGACTCCCGTTTCCGGATAGAGGGTCAGTACATGCAGACAAAGGTCACCATCCGTTTTTCGACAGTTTCTTTGTTTCCTTTTAAAGACTCGGCCCATATTATGAAGATTATGGTCCGCCGCCGCCTCTACCAGCTCCAGCTCCGGAGATTCTTCCGCCTCCAGACCGAAACGATTGCGAGATTATTGTTGTTTCGCGCGTACTAACGTGAGTGCGATTTGATTATTAGAAAATATACTGCATCGGCACTGCAACTACCGCTGTTGAAGATGTAATGCACTTGTGCTTGCGAAACGTCAGGAGTAAATTATTTTTCAATGACCCTTACGGTTTCAGGGAATATGCAGAGTTTATAGAATCGAGGCTGAAACAGATGGGACTAATAGTCGACCTCTTATTTCCCAATGAAGACGTGGCTATAGGGAAAGTGTTAGCGAACATATCCAGTAGGGGTTGCTTGTATGCCATATTGGTGATGCCTCAAAATGAGGAGCAGCGAAGTTTAACTCTGAACATTTTGCATGGGATTCCTCAAGGTATGTGATAAGGAGTAATCCTTCTTCAATGTCCTGATTTGATGAATTCTCCCAGAGCACCGAAATATGCCTCTGGAGGACGCCGTTCTTCTAGTGCAGAGGAACTTTGAGGCCTACATGAGGGGTGAAAAGGCGCCTGAAAACGCGGTAAAAATGAGTTTATCCGACAGACACCCCATTCCCGTTCAGGTAAAAAAACGAAAGTAAAACCCACCATGAGGCCCATGAGCTCTATTGGTTTTTTTCCAGATGCTTCTGAATCTGCTTGCAGAAAATCGGATGCTGAGCACGTCTCAATATGACCGCATTATCAAATACCTTCAAGAGCGGCGAGAGTTGCAGAGCGCACACGAGATTGCCGAAGGAATCACTCAAGCGTCAAATGAGGCGCCGACGGATAAACAGACGGAGCTCCAAAGTCGAATTCTCAACATATTGAATAAAGCGAATGATCCCGCGATTCCGAAGTCCATTACATCGATGGACTCCGCTGCAAAAGAACCAGCTACGCCCCTGTTAAAAGACCCATCTGTTCAAAAGGCTTTGGACAGCATCCTGTCTGGAGACATGTTTAAGGGCTTAACTGAACGACTGTAGTAAATAATAATGACTGGGATGACGTGAACGCGGTAAGCTAAGTTGTTTTCCAGTGTGTGTTTACGTGCAAGCAAATTTATGGGAACCTTTTAAGTTCTTGAAATCGAGCTGCAAGATGTAATAACACACAACAGTTTTAGTTCGTAAAGTTGCATTTTCATTCTACAAATCTCTGAACTGTTCGATGTTGAGTAACACAAAGTGTTTCATAAATCATTTTATTTACACAATTTAAAAAAAAAACAATTATAGTGTCGTGCCCCCACCCCATGAGTTTCAGTTCGTAAACCAGACACCTGCTGAGGCAAGATAACATATCAGAAAAACCTGGAATTTATCGCCTAATTCTTCGAGCGAAAGCGGTTCGTTCCACTGAAAACGGTGCTCAACCCTAATTAATTAACATCAACACTCTAGTCACACCTCAGAAATTAATTATAATATAAAACAATGCTTCTAAGAGATACTTAGTTGACGAACGACGTTTTGAATTGATAGATTTTCCAATAGTGTTAATTGCACAATTAAACAATAAATTTGCGGGAATTTTTCAGAATCCCAAAAATGGCAGGTGCCGGGCAAAAATTGAGGTAGTTTCTAATCCAACTAAACTATACACCTGACAAATGGACAATATTCTATGGCCCACGGATATTGGAAAAATTAATGTACGGCCCAAAGTTTTATACAAGGAATTGATTGAATATTTCCACACCCGCTTGCATATGGTTTCACGTAAGAACATTTATTAGCGGGAAAACCCCTAAAGTAAAAACTCACTAATTCACCGTATTTCATTTCATTCGTTGAATGCTAAAAGAAGGAGCGTCAAGTTATGGCATAATCTTAAAAAGTTTCCATCGGCAACACCTGCTTTATTGTTAACCATTGGGAAAGTTAACAGGAATTTGTAAGTGTAATTTACGTATTTCTTGTCACTATAATAATTGAATTCCTGCGGAAATCCAAACAGGCCATTTGAGAAGGAGAAACAATCATTTCTTCCTTATTCGACTCATATTTTATGGACAACATCAAGATTAATAATAGAGTATCGATTCAAAGTAGCGCACTTGGGCTTTTGAGAGTAAAACGTCCTAAAATTAGCTAACCGTAATCTACGAACACCTTTTTAATGCTGGCTACATGTACTTATATTCAATTGTTCCGGTGTATATCGATTCGAGCGCTGAAACGTACCCCAAATGATCTGCATATGGGACTTTGTCAAGCCGTTGAAGCTACATAGAGGCCAACCCATGCCGAAAATACAATATGAGGAATATTCAGGTTTATATTAACATATGAGGCGCTAGTTTAGGACACATAACTTCAAATTGTTTCTCGTGCAGGATTGTAATGACTAAAGCTCCGAATATCTAGGTTTTCGTATATGTTCTTTGGAGTCGGATGAACTTTGGCAATAACATAAAGCTACATGCCCAGACAAGTTTCAACACGAATTGTACATAAATTGTAAATTATTAACTATAAAGTCTAATCGAATACGCTATCGACACTGTCATCTGCAGGGCCATCGAAAATCATGCCATGATTGTGCATTTCCCCCTCGCTCCCTGAAAAATGCAAAATTCACTTGCATTATCAAATACATAGGTGTTATGTCAATTAGATGGATATTTTTATAATTATTAGGCATTAAAGAAAATATAAAATAAGAAATGAGTTCCAGTTTAAAAATACAAGCGCTGTAGAAATATGAAGCTAAGCAAAGAGGAGCAACAGAGATAAACCTAGAATAAACAACAAAATGCAAACAATTCTTAACAAGACAAACTGGAAAAATATGTGGTGCTATGTTATTTCACGTTTAGTTTAGTAATGATTTAGAAAACGACACTTTAATAAGACAAATTTGTTATTCAAATTAACATAAGCGTTGTAGAAATATCAAGTTAAACAAAGAGGAGCAACAAAATGAAAACGAGAATAAACAAAAAAAATAAAAACAATTATGATATGCTTATCATTCCTGGGTCTCAGTCAAAGTGTGAAGTAAAAATTTTGAACATCGTTTATTTCACTACGTTTCGGCGAGACAACAGCGCCATCATCAGATTTAAAATTTACGTAAACTCATGATTGGTAAAAATCAACGCTCTTTTAGGTCTTTGCCTTCTTGAAACCTTAAATTTGTTTTACCAATCATGAGTTTATGTAAATTTTAAATCTGATGATAGCGCTGTTGTCTCGCCGAAACGTAATGAAATAAACGATGTTCAAAATTTTTACTTCACACTTTGACTGAGATCCAGGAAAGATAAGAATATCATAACAAGTACACGCAGTCAGGAAAATAAATCATTATAATAAAAACAATCCTTAACAAGACAAAGTGCCAGAGTGTCTGTTATTTCAGCTAAAAAACGACACTTGAATGGTTTAAGAAAACGACACTTGAATAATAAAACAAATTTGTTTGTTCTTATTAACATAAGCGCTGTAGAAATATGAAGTTAAGCAAAGAGGAGCAACAAAATGAAAACGAGAATAAACAAAAAAATGAAAACAATCCTTAACAAGACACACTGGAAAAATGTTTGTTATTTCAGCTAAAAAAAACGTTCAGTTTAGTGATGATTTAAGAAACCGACACTTGAATAATACGACAAATTTTCAAATTAGCTCAATTAGAAATTGACCGAAGCACAGAAAAACATAAACTACAAACTTTGTTTTGTAAAAACTGTGGCTTCATGCCACTTAAACTGGACTTTTGAGCATACAATTGTCTGTTGGAATTAATTAAGCATCGTCCTGGGAAATCTAAATAATAAAATAATTTTAGTACAAGATTCAGAAGCCTGTGAAATATTGTTGTCTGAATTGGCTCAACTGTAATCGAAAACGTGGAAAAACCGCCATCACAGGCAATAGAAAGTGTGAAGCAATGCTGAAAATATAAGGGGTTGTTTCATACCTAAATTGATACTGCCTGGTGGATATATTGGCGTTGGGGGTGTTTGTGGACTTTCTAAAAGATCGTTATTTAGTCCAATGGCCGGATCGAACGCCTCCTTTATTTGACTACTGGCTCCCTTGGGATCCAAATCGGTCGCCCAGCTGAAGTATTGCAATGCCAGATCCGTATTTCCCATCTTTTTGTGCACTTTTCCTGCAAAATATTCATTTCAGTTGCAAACATCGCAATGCTATGTTACAGTTTAGTTTACCTATTAGGTAGTAAACTGACGACTCTTTTGGTACAATCACTTTAAGTTCTTCGAGCTCTTTAAGCGCTTCGGCGTGACGACCCAATGCGAAATATATGGAGCCTCGATGGAACTTGCATAGAGCCGATTTTGGGTTGTTGGCAATGGCTCTATTAAACGTAGCTAATGCTTTGTCAGTCTGCGAAATAAAAATCCAAAATTACACCCAAACTTCTTAGCTATTTAAACTTATAAGCTATTATAATGGTGAATTAGGAAAATTTTACGGGGTGAAGTATAAATATTACACTTAAAGGCAAGTCCAGGGATTATTAAAGGATTGAAAATAGCTGACTAGACCATTTTTTCAACAGTGTTACAAAAACTGCCATGCGGTAAAAAATTGAGTTTTTTCTCTTGAATGGGGCCCTAAATTGAAAAAAACGAGCATATTTTAGCAAAAAAATGCCAAATTTCGGTTGTCTTTGCTGATGAAAAAACGCATTGCAGAACTTTTCCTCCTTTTACCAACATTTGAACACAGGTTTTGAAAATAAAAACGTAATTAATGCCGCCTTTGGATTTCTCAGATAGAAGTTTTGATGGCAATATTTTGGTTTTAAAAAAATGTACTGACGGTTTTGCTTTAGATTTGGGGCCCACATTTTAAATGCTGGAATATTCGAAAACACAAAAAATAGTTGAATGGCGCCTTCGGCATTTCAAAGATGAAACAAAAAATCTTTCACTGAAGAAACACTACAGAACTTTGCCGCTTAGAGAACTCAAAAGTATAAAACAAAACATATTTCGAAAAAAACGACGACTAATGCCCAGTTTTGGCTCGTCCTGATAGAGTAATTTGATGGCTAAACTTTTGTTTAAATAATCGAAGTGTATTTATTAACGTGTTCACGGCGATCGAAACGCGCCACATTTTGGTTTTTCTTGTTTTATAATCAAACCACTTTTGATTCAATCAAAAAACCTTATTCCGGATTGTTTACGTGAATAATCAGGCTTATTTTATAGTCACAATAATTTGAAACGATCTGAAATTCAAAAAGAAATACACCGTAAACCCATGCACAATTTGGATGGAACGAGTCACTTATCAAGAAAACTGTTTGAAAAAACTCACCTGCTTTAAAGCGTGTTGCACCATACCAATATGGCACAAAATCACAGAACTTTTCGGATTAATCGACAGCGCCCTACTATAATTCCACTCGGCCAAACTATACCGTTCTTGCTTCGAATAAATGGTTCCGACCCCAAACCAAGCATTGTAATGCCTCGGGTTTATCCTTACAGCATTCCAGAAACAGCTCATGGCCTTGTCCAGCTCTTCCGTTGTTATATATTCGTGTCCCAACAACGTGTAAGCGTAGTGAAACTTTGGATCCACCTGTGGAGTTCAAGCACCCAAATTAGTGGTGGGTTTCAATTGATTGCAGAGTTAGTAATCACCTGCACAGCTCTTTGAAAGAACTTGATGGCAGTGTCGTGCTCTTTGTGTAGGGAAAAACAGTTTCCGCTCACACACCAAGTAATCGGATGGTTCCTGTTTGTGTTGATCAGGTCGTGAGCGAGTGCGCTTAATGCTACCTCTTTTTGCAAATGCCATAAAGCTGTGGAGTAGATGTCCATGCACTCGAGCCGATGCGGATCTTGAGAGTGAACCTTCAGAAAGTCGGAAGAAATTGTTTTTTTTTTTAAATTAAAAACAGCGATGGAAACTAACCATTTGGAAATATTTAATGCTAGACTCATAATCGCTCATTTCGAAATAAGCCACTCCCATCAAGCAGTACACCCACGACGTTTCGAATTGATTTAGGGGCAAGGACGACAAAATCTGCGAAAGAAAACATACATAATTGCAGCAAATATTGAACAAAAAATCCTCTATTCACCTGCACCGTAGTTTGGCACTCGTAGCTACTTAAAGCGACGTATGCCTGTCCAATAGTCCTCAGAAGGTTCATCAAACCATCTGTACTGTGTTTTTGCAACAGCATCGCTTGCTGGATGCAGTTTTCTCCGCTGCTGTTGGAAAGGTTTTTTTCGGTTTTTGCGTCCGAAGTTATTGTTTCGGACCGTCCCTGCTCCAAGTTCTATGAATTTATGTAATCATTTATCCGGGATCCAAGGGACAACGTTTAGAAAAAGCGCAAAAATCAGCATATGACGGGATTTAAATGAAATTTTGGCCGTTTTTAAAAAGACTCGCGTGTCTTCTTTAGACTGTTTAACTTCCAAGTCGCCACTTGCTCTGGATTAGGAGATAGGAATTTGTATGTGCGAGATTGCAGATGTGTGAAACCGTTCATTTTTAGATCAACATTTGCAAATAGCGCAACAATCAGCATCTGATGTGGTTTATGCAAAACTAGACAGTTTTTAGCTTCGACTGTCTTCTATAGAATGTACAAAGTCCCTACCCGCTCTGCGTTAGAAGTTAGGCTTACGAAATTACGAAAGGCGGAAAAGTCATCAGCTCATGCGAATTGAATGAAATCTGACGGTTTTGAATGAAGATTCATGTGTATTCTAGAGACTAAAAATTTCAGTCTCAAAAAGACAGTCAGGAGCTGCGTTAAAAGTTAGAAATGTTTATTGGTGAGCTTGCAGATTCGAAAACATTCATTTTCAGATCAACATTTACCCAGAGTAAACAAACAGCATCTGATGCGGCTTAAGTAAAATTTAGAGTTTAGAATCAAGTGTCTTCTACAGATTGTGAAATTTTCAAGTTCCGATTCGCCCTGCATTAAAAGTTAAGGTTTTTTTATTTGTGAGCTTGCAGTTGCGTGAAAACGTTCATTTTTAGACCAAGTTTTACGAATCGATTTTAGATTCAGTAAAGTAAGATTTTAGATAAGCGTTTTTAGATTCAAGTGTCTTCTATAGGACATAAAAATGTCCAGTTCTTAGTCGCTCTGCATTAGAACTCAGAAATTTGTATTTATGAACTTGCAGATGGGTGAAAACGTTCAGTTTTAGAACAACTTTTATGAATCGAGCAAAAATCAGCATCTTATGCGAATTACACTGCTGATTCAAGTGTCTTACCTATTTAGAATGTAAAAATTTGAAGTTTCCAACAAAAAACTGGATTAAAAGTTAGAATGTTTATTTGTGAGCTTGCAGATTCATGAAATCGTTCACTTTTAGACCAAGTTTTACGAAACGAGCAAAAATCAGCATCTCATACGAATTAAATGAAATTCTGAGCGTTTTTAGATTCACGATTCACGTTTTCTATAGGATCTAAAAATTTTAAGTACCTAGTCGATCAGCATTAGAAGTGAGCAATTTTTATTTATGAACGTACAGTTGCGTGAAAACGTTAGTTTTGTGACCAACTTTTACGAAAGGCACAAAAATCAGCCTCTTAGCGAATTAAATGAAATTCTGAGTGTTTTTAGATTCAAGCGTCTATTATAGGATGTAAACATTTCAAGTCCCTACTCGCTCTGCATTTGAAGTTAGCAATTTTTAATTGTGAATTTGCAGATGCCTGAAAACGTTCATTTTTAGACCAACTTTTGCGACACGAGCAAAAATTAGTATATCATGTGAATTAAATGAAATTCTGGGTGTTTTCAGGTTCAAGGGTCTTCTATAGAATGTAAAATGTTCAGGTCCCTAGTCGCTCCGCATTAGAAGGGTGCAATTTTTATTTGTGAACTTGCAGATGCGTGAAAACGTTCATTTTTAGACCAACTTTAACGAAACGAGCAAAAATCAGCATGTCATGCGAATTAAATGAACTTCTGAGCGTTTTTTGATTCAAGAGTCTTATTTAGACTGTAAAAATTTCAATTTCAAAACGATTGTTAATTATTAAAATTTTAGCACTTGCTTAGTAAACATATCTAAGCACACTCACCTGAAAGTTCTTGCTGATATTTTTCGTTAACCGCTGCTTCGTTTTCCTTGAGGGCGATTTGGGGGTGACGAATTTATTTCTTGTTGGCGATTTATTATTCTCTTTTACTGAATGGGAACTAAAATTCACTCAATATTAGTCACTGGGCTTTTTCGTAAGTAAGGCAATTAATTGACTCACCTAAATAATCTGGAGCTCCGTCGAACGTTTTGATTTGGTTGCGTGTTTAATAAACCAGTCGGGGTCTTTGTTGGCACATTTGAAGACTGACTAAGAACGGGTTTGCTATTTTGAAAAATTGAGTCTTTAGCTCTACTTATGAACAACGATCCTTCCTAAAACGAATAAACAGAATTATATTAATTAAATTAATAGAAAAGGATTCGAAAAAATCGTAAAGAATTAGCAGTGATTCTACTGATTGTTAGAATTTGAGCAAGCGGATAATTTTTTTATGGAGTAATCAGTGATTACATTAAAATGCATATCATTAAACCGTTCATTCAAATAGCAGAAAATGAGTCTAAATTCTATTAAATTATTGAGTTAGCATTCCGAGGAAAGTTTTTAGTCAATAGTTGAACTGAATTAACTAACATTTTAAACTTCTTATGCAGAAACTGCAAATAAAGACTTTCCCTGTAGTTTTTCTTTTTGGAAGCTGAATACGCGAGGGTGTAGATTACCTGAGCACTAATTTTCTTTGGAATTAACAGGGAATTATTAACTTCGGTAATAGCAGGAGTTCCATTGTTTCGCCACTCACTGTTGTCGAACAATTGCCCAAAACTGGGACTCTACGAAACAGTCCATTAAAAAGTACTTAGACGTTGCTTAAAAAACTGCTTACCTCATTTCTTCTGCAATCATTTCGCATCTTCTGAGACTTACGGGGCCGTACGATAATGGGAGCAAGTCCTGACATGGTAAGGGGGTTGGCTAACGGGCTTTCGTCAGGGGTGGCAAAAGTTATTGCCTTAGGTTTTAGGCTGCAAATAAAGCTGTAGTTAAACAAGCAACGCGAACGGTGCTTTTATAAAGGTTACTTGGTAGTTATAGTCAGTGCTTTATAGGGGGTGAAATCTGTGAACTTCGAATTCTCCACTATCTCGCCCTGGTTGGCGGGGGTGATAATAACGCTTTCAATGTTGTTAACTGAATGTCCATGGCACATTGATACATTATCTGGAACATGCTTCTATAAGATAAATTTCAGAGGACTGTTTAAAAATTACCAATATTCTCTCCTTGAAAAATCGCATTGGGGTTGGGATTTTCGCCAATTTTACACAGTTCCTCAAACGCCGAATACAGAAACGGGTTGAGTTTCAGCGCCTTTTTCCACGCTTCTGCGGCTCTGGGGTTTCGTTCAGTCTGAGCGCCAATTTTGCCTAGCAGCACTAGAGCAAAGGGAGCTTCATCCCCAAAATCAGTCACGATATCATCTAAAGACCTTTTCGTACCATCATCGAGCTCTACAAGTGCAGCCTCAGCCTCTGCAAATCTACAAAACACCTGCAATGATCTGTGGTACATGGCTGAGGAAAATACGTACTTTTCTAGCTCAAACGCACATAATCCAAATAACAACTGGCATTGGGTGGACAAGCTGTACCTTTCCTTCAAAGCGTCGTAACTTTGGGTTGTTTTACCGCTCCTGTAATAAGCTGTGGCCAGCAGGAAAAGAGTTTCGTCCGATTTTACTAAAAATATCACAATACGTGCTGATACGTTGTAAACAAATCGTTGGAAATGGGTCTACCTTCAGCGTATAAGCGTTCTGATAAAAACACAGCGTCCGGATAGTCGTAGTGATTCAAGCAATGCCAAATAGCTGCCTAAAAATGCATAAATTACAAAAAAAACAGCTACAAGAATCGTGAACTTACCTGCACTGGCTCTTGGACTATCATATTGAAGCTCTTTGGTGGTAACTGCTTATTTGGGAATCATGGCAAAGGCTAGAGATTGATTAGGTCCTAAAAATATCTATTTAATTTAGAATGTGAGAACTAATTAAGAATTAATTGTATTTTAGCTGAATGGTTTTGATTGGAATTGTATGACACCTTTGGCATAGGTACGTCAAATCAAGTGAAGGACTGTCTGGAAGTTTGAAACAAGTCTACGATTGCAATGCCGCCAATATAATGCGAAGAAATACTTAAATATATTTAGACCACAGATCACAGGGTACCTCTGTGATCTGTGGTTTAGCTGCTCGTCATTCATCCTGTTTGTGTAGATGTCAAAAGGAAGGAAACTGGTTGGAAACTTTTCAATTACGATTTCCTATTGTTTCACCTAAGTGGCTGGACTTGAATAAAATGGCATCAGGTCTTGAGTTGTTTGTTAATTCTGTGCGGAATTTGTCCTCTCACGGTATGTGCTTTGAGGTTAGAACCAACCGTTTCCGGAGCCCCATTCTCACAACCGCATATTTTAATGAATGGGCCCCTTTCATTTCAGGTAGCGTGAGGGAATTGAAGGAACTGTATGATGTTGTGGTTGAGGCCAGAGACGTTCTGGCAAAGAATTCGCAACATTTAGACAATGTCCTAGAAACTCTGGACGTGCATCAGCATTGTTTAGGTGTCATGGTAGTGTTGACTGCTAAATTCGATAGTGCCGGGGCTCCAGTGCCTGACAATAGATTTATAGAAGCTCAAGAGTTCATTTTCAACTTTAATGTAGAACAATTACGCCTCGCCCCTGATTTGTGTAAGTATTTAGAGTTCCCCTAAGGGCGCTATGGGTGTTGAAAATTCGGGTTCAGTTGCAGAGTTCAGCCACTCATTCACAAACTACCTACTGGCACAGAAAACACCCATCAAGGGCATCAGCTTGTTGAAGCATGCGATTATTAGACTGAAATACTTTGCAGAAAATCAATTAACATCGATCCATGCAGATTTGTGCCAACTCTGCTTGGTCGCTAAGTGCTTCAAGCCAGCCTTACAAATCTTGGATGCAGATATTATCAGTATATGCCAAGAAGTAAGTCAACTTTGGTATCAGAAGTACAGGCAGATTGTCGTTACTTTGCAGTATTCGTTTCTCCGAAATAATTTCCTCTATTCGTTACTTCAAAACTTTGCATTTAGTTCGATTTACTTGTGTTTGACTTCAACACCACAGGCATTAAGATCAGCTGAAAATGCCAGAATAACAGATTTCGATTTTTCACCTAGTCCTGCATGTCGAATTTTTGTCTTAAATTGTCTATGAGGTTGTAGCTTCAACAAGACCGTGACAATCAATCCAAGAGCTGAAAAGTTATCGCTGCAAGACCAAAAAGTTTCGAGCTATTTCCTTTTTATTTAAACTTGTGATGTTTTTTTTGTAAAATCCAAAAAAACATTTCTTTGTCCAACCTGACGCATGCTGAAATTTTGCATTTTATTATTTGCCTCCTTGCAGAAAATTTATTGACATTAAAAAACAAAAGTGGTGCTCAATAACGCTTCAAACAGAAACCAAATCGCTATAAGCAATCATAATTTATCCCGTTCAAAAATTAGGGCACATTTGGCTGCGTAACGGTAATTTTGTTGAGCAGTTTAGTTGAAATACTAATGAATATTAACTTCCTGGCCTTCCTCAGTAACGAATAGTTTCTTTTTCCACAGCTCCAATGAGAAGAGGACATAAGCTAATCTCACTTCTTTATAGATTCACAATCCTCCCCCAAATGGTCCGCTGTTTGATTCCAAATACTTTTTGCTCTATTACTACTATGGAGGCAATATCTATTTGGCTCTCAAAAACCTAGACAGAGCCTTATATTTCTTCGAGGTGGCTCTAACCACCCCGGCTCACGCGGTATCTCATATAATGCTAGATGCATTCAAAAAGTTCATTCTTGTCTCTTTACTGCTGCATGGAAAAGTGAGTTATCATCTATTTTAATCGGAATAGATTCGATCTAGTCGGTTTCCAGATGCAACCAATTCCCAAAAGCTCCTCGAAAATGGTCATGCGGTTCATTAAACCATTATCTCAACCATATACCGATTTAGCTGCTGCTTTTGTAATCAATAGTATAGCTGAAGTGAATAATATCATTACAAAACATTCTGAGGTAAGAGTTTTTAGGGGACTGTTTTCAATAAGGTAAGCTAAAACACATCTTTTAAATGAAAGGTTTTTTGTAATCGGACAGTTAATATTTGGAATCTGGAAACAATTTACTGCTTTCGGCGGAAAGTTCTCGTTATTCCAAATATTATCTCTCCGCTAAAGTCGCTTAAAAACACCCACAACATTTCATTAAAATCTTTTAAAGTTTAATTAGTGATAAGTAATGATTTATTGAGAAATACATGAAAAAACGTCAGTAAAAGCAAGCAAAAAATAATCAAAAGATGAAATCGACTTTTCTTGCTGCAAATTCTCTAACTTAGTAAGGTTTCATCTAAATGAGAACGAAAATCATCTTCGATATTTTGGCTAAATTCGAATATCTTGATTCCCTCATAGTAGATCTTAAATACGTTTTGATAACATTTAATTTCGGTGAAAGCTAAAAACATTCGCAAGATTACAGAGAATCTAGCAAAGAACTCGTTGAAATCGCTAATGACTAGTTTGGACGCCGAATTATCCATACTAATAATAGAAATTAACTGTGCATTCATGTTTCGCAGGTGTTCATAAGAGATCAAAATATGGGACTAGTCAAGCAAGTGTCTTCTGTTCTTTACAAAAAGAACATCCAAAGGCTCACGAAAACCTTTCTCACGTTAAGTTTAACAGATGTTGCTAGTAGAGTTGGTCTGCCAGGACCTGATGATGCAGAAAGGCACGTATTAAGCATGGTAAGTCGCATAGTAATTTCGTAAAATAATCCACCAAAAAACGTATTGTCACCAGATTGAAAATGGCCAGATTTATGCGACGATAAACCAAAAAGACGGTATGGTAGTGTTTAGTGATGAACCTGATAAATACAGCGGACCGGGCGTGCTAAAGACATTGGAAGATGAGCTTGCCATTTGTATGGACTTCAATGGCCGAATTCTGAACATGGACGAAGAACTACAGGTTTGTTTTTAATGCTCTGAATGTCCTCTCGTATCAATTCAATTTCTCTTAGGTTAATCCACAATATGTTAAAAAGTCAGCAGGTATACTAGATGAGGACCAACCAGCCAAAAGCAGTTATGCTATGTAGGATTTTATGTTGTAAATAGCTTGAAGTATTTTGATTTTTTGCCCTTAACTGATCTTACCTTAAAACCCCTAATTCCTATCACTCAAACCTAATAGTCTGGATCTTTAAGAGCGTTCGTTAGACCCTGATATTGATCGAGTTAATTTAAATATAAGTATTTTGCTATTGTATGATTTTGTTTTTTTTTTAATACACTCCGGCTCCTTAAAATCGTTTTAGACATTTACACCACAAATGATTTTATTTTAGATAATCAACTGTAATAAAACGTGTATATCTTTAATTATGCAAATAAATTATTTTAATCCAAGCTAGTATTGCTTAGTTGAACCAATTTAAAGCTTAGTTGACATTAATAGATAAGAAAGTGAATGAATTTTGGAACCTTATCTTGTCCATGTTAAATCCAAGCGGGAATTAGTGCTTGGGTTGCCATTAGACAAGTAAGTACGCAAACAATTTGGTTGCTATTTGAGGGGTCAGTCGCTCAATAAAACTACATTTCTGTACGTATCTTCATATTTTGCTGCAAAAATGTCTAAAATATGTCTGTTTCAAATAAATAAATCGATAATTTAGATAACTAAAATTCAACAAATATCACTTTTCAGGCAATCGCTGCCTAATTAGGCTTAATGTATGTTCACCTAATCTAAGGACCCTGTTTCAGCCTAAGGAAGCTACTGCGAGTAAAGATCGATGTTTTGTATTCAACTAGTGAAACTGGCAAAACGACGACCTTTATAGGAAACATTTTAAGAAATAAATAAATAATTAATTCCAGAGAGAAATCGAGGTAATCAGCCTCAAGTTAACGAAGAACCAGTCTCGTCAATATAAGTACTTCTCAGTCTCGGCTTAATAAACTACACTACACGCTTGTCTTTTAATAATTCCTAATCCTAATCACAATAGACATTGCTACAATAAAAGCAAAGAAAAAGTACTATTTAGTGCAATAAAAATGAACCCTAAGTAAGCAAAGATAAAACTCGATGCTTTCTTTTGTTGTAATCTAAGTACTTGCTTACACACTCAATTATCTTATAACCCCATTGAAAGTAATCTTTTTATCAACAACCAATTTAGATAATGATATAAATTGGAAAAAAATAAATAAGCTACAAAACAACACAATCGACAACGAGCTCTGATTCTTTGCCAAACAGAAACTTTATGTACGTTTTGAAATGGATTTTTCGTTATAAAATTCGAGTTCTACGAGTGACGACTATTCTAGAAAAATTGACTAGAACCTACTTGACACAACGTCGCTATCTGGGTATCAGCGGGTCGAATGAGGTCAGTTCTTGCTGGTCATCAAGCCGCACTTTTTCCAATGAAGGTTTTCGAACCACCACCGGTAAGGAATCTGTTAAAATGGGAATGGTTAGTGATGAACGTGACAAACTATCATAACATGGAAAGTTAATTGCTAGCAATATGTGAAAAAGAGCGTGATGGGTAAGTTGTGGTTTTTCAATCACAAATTGACCAAGTTTTACATACTAACAGTAGACAAATTGACGTAATTTGAAATCAAAATTAATATGTGCTAATGCATCTTCTGGAACATTTTTTGTTTTATTGTTTTAATATTTCCCTTCTTTAAGTTTCTTAAGTGTTGACCTCGCTTTCAGTCATTTCTTTCGAATTCACAAGTATTTCTTTTTTAAAACGTTTCGGTGTTTTCATCTTCAGTCTAAACTTAAAGAACAGAAATGAAAACAAAGTGTCGAGTTCCAGAAGATCATACTTTACGGAAAAGTAAAGCTTTGAAGTACTTTTGGAAAAATTAAGAAGAGAAGCAATCGCTAAACGCATTAAGTCTCTTCGAATGAAGAATGCAAAAAGCAATTTATTTCTCAGCGAAATTCCTTACCAAATTCATAGTTGTTTGAATAGGGTGGAATTCCACTGAACGGTACTTTCAATGCAATAAAGCTCAATATTTAAAATTCCATGTATTTCATTGATCCCCGGTTATAACAATAAACGCTAAATAATTGCTGCATGAGCGCACAGCCCATAGTGAAAAGGATAAAGTGGAATGTAAGGATAAACAAATGCTTAGCTTATCAGCAACTTGTATTATAAACAAAGGCTTGATATTTTTTAACTGAAAACTTGTTAACGAATCGGAAATTAAATGCTTGTATCTGTGTAACACTTTGCTAATTAAACTCTATATAATTACAGTTAATACTGGTTAAGGGCTGTAATACTGTAGCAGTTTTACTGGGATCGTTCCTAGACAAACCCCTTGAAACCCAGCTGTGTGTTAAGATTTGCCGATTTTATCCGCCTGCTCACTAACACTAGTTTCCCGTGATTCATTACCTTTCCTTCTCAGTAGATATTGGGCGCTTATGTGGACAAAACAGGCCCCTAAGGCGCCAAATCCAAAGTAGCGGAAAGCCAGCGAGCCGGAAACTTTCGAAAGAGTTATTCCAGCCAATAAACTGCCCAGCGACACTCCAACACCCTCAAAAACTGCTCCAACTAAACCCTGAAAAAATGGGGTAAACTTCCGAATTCTTGTTAGTTTCTAGGCACTCACCTGCATGGTAGCTTCCGTTCCTAGAGGCGCTATAATACTAGCATACGAAGCCATACAGGCGTAAAACAGTCCGAAAGTCAGCCCATTGCTGAACTCAATGGGTATGAAGTACCAGGGGTTCTCGATCACAGAATATAATACGAATCGAACCCCCAAGGCAAACAGCACCAGCGACATGGCGCTGATATGCCCCATTTTCTTCAAAATTTTGCCGGAGAGGAAGAAAAATGGAAGCTCGCCCCCCAAGCACTGCACTCCCATAATGATGCCCTGTAGGGTTTGGATTCTCGTCTCTCCTCGCGCTTGCCCCAAGTCTTGAACGAGCCACAAGAGGAAGTTCCACATTAAACCTGTGCACATTCCCACACAGATGCACCAGAGCAAAAACACCAAAATTCGGACGTTCAACAGCAGCTTGCCGATGTCTCTGAAGATGTTTGTCGACAGCTTCGTTTGGGTGTACTGGAAAAAAGTTAATTCCATTAGACTTGAGTTCTATTAATAGTGAAGTAAACCCACCTGCAATCTGCTGGACACAATGAAATCCAGAACCAGAATAACGGCTGCCAGATAAAAGCAAATAGAATAGTTGGGTTGATTTTTATCCTCACTCATCACATCAACAAGCACGCCAGCTATTAAAGAAAGCAGACCCCATCCCAAGGCGCCGAACATCCTCTGGTAGCCATATCTGTTCGGTTTGTCGCCTGAAAATGCACAAAATTGCCCAATTTCACTAGGCAAAACGCTTTTGGTCAGATTTACCTAACATGGCAAAGCAAATCGCATCTCCAATGCTCACTGTAACGGCTTGTCCCACCCATGCGGTTATCATTAACGCCAAAAACACCCAAAATTGGTAGCTTCCATACGCTATATCATCAGCGATCTGAAATTGATTATTAATTGTACAGTGTTTGCTATTGTAGGTTTTTTTAGAATAAAGGACGTTGCACGCTCATATCTCCTGCCTCAAAATGAGTTCGAATACGAAAGAGAGAAGGAAAAGTAGCATGCAATCCACTACGTAAAAAAATAAGTAAAGAAAACAGTTCACTATGTACTAGAAAACAAGGAAAAATGTAGCGAAATTAGCAAAAAAAACGAATAATTTCTACCTTAGGAACAATTCTCGATCAAATTCACAAAAATCTACTCCTGAAGAACAATCGCTCCAAAGGTGCAGTTGAGTTTCCAGACTTTTCAATGAGGGAAAACAATAAATTAATTCAATAATGCCGAAAATAAACATAGCGCTAAAGACATTTAAATCTTATTGGTGCTTTAAGAAAATTCTTTAAGAAAACAGGACGTTAGTTAAATATGTGCCTAAACCAGATACTATAATTCCACCATTGTTCGTAAGTATGCCGATAAAACGTGCACATAAACAGCTTAAAAGTGAGCCGCCCTCAATATGCGCCACAAAATTAGCATCCTCCATAGATGTTAATACTGAAACAATTCGTTAATAAATCGGGGATTATCGTTCAGGTCTAGACAAGATAACAATAAATCATATGATGACTCTTTGACGCTGACCATTAAGTAACTTACCTCGTTAGTAACAAACAATGCATTAACATCATTATCCTCGCATGTCACATTGCAGGTACTGTTAATGTTTGCAGTAGGGCAGGAAGGGTTTGAAATGCTCTCATCTTGAGTCACATTGATAATTTGAAAGGCCATATAATCCGAGGAAGAAGCGTCTCGTGCATACCTTCCGGCTGCGCTTTTGCCCAGAACTTCGTTGATTAGAACCACTAGGGTGGAAAAAGTGACTCCATTCTGGAGCTCAAAGGTGGCGTCCCCACAAAATCTGGACAATTTCCAATCAGTGCACAAAACCTCCAGATCTTCAGCGGTGAGTGGACAAGTGAGCTGAAAACAATGCCCTTAACTAACCACTGATTTTCATGCAATTATCAACTTACCTCGCAATTAAAGGTGCTGTTCTTGTCCTGGATCAGCGTTAATTGTTCAGAGTTAACGCCTTCAGTGTTGAGAAAAACGGCTGCCGTGCTGCTGTTACAATTAAACTCCACATGGTTTTCCATGGTAATTTTCGGGGAGAAGTAGATGGCCAAAAAGGCGACTGCCGTTAAAAGCTGAGCTGCATGAAAAGAACTGTATAAATAACTCATGTGCCTATGGAGCAACTGGTTAAGTACCGATGAGAAAAATCTTTTTCTGGCAATGGAATCGGTCGGAAATGGCTCCAAATGTCGGCTTTGCTATCATGCCAGACACTGGTAGAATTGTGTAAATTAGCCCGACCACCACGCTGGAAAAACCCAGCTGTCTGGCATATACGGAAAGGAATGGCACTATTGGGCCCGTTCCTGAAAAAAAAAACAGTCAGTTTGAATGGCAAAAAACCCTAAAATTTCCAGATAAATCCTTTTATGTGTTTTCTTGCAAATTGCAAAACTCGACCCTTTTTATCAAACAAGCAGTTTATCTAAGAATTAGTCTAGAAAAATCTGTTGACTCCACTAGTCTAATCCTTTGAGTACTCTTCTAAAGGAATTGCTAGAGTGACAGAGGGTCATTTCTAGTCTCGAGAGTCATTTCGGGATATTTAATTACGAAAAACGGGAATTGGGTTAATGATGAATTCGTAGGCAGAACGAGTGTAAATCATGTCTTTTCTGGGTAAATTCTGCAATTTATATTGATATCTTTGTTATCATCAACATTTGTTAGCAGATGTATTAAGTAGCTATGTCATTTATGGCTTTATTGCTAATAAAACTGTGTTTATTTATTTATATTGTGATCATAAAACTATTGCTGCATAAGTACATGCTTGAGATTAGGAGAGAGTTATTAGAAGTAAAGAATGTTGTATACAAAATTTTATTATGTATTTTCAAACACACTGTTAACTAACAGAATCTGAGTGTGGACACTTTTTTAGGGCAGATCTATTGATAACTTCAATATCCTAAAGACGCTTCGAATGCGCTACTGGTAATAGCATTTTTATTTATTTAAATATTATTTTACAGTTTATTGAAAATTTGATTGCCAGGTTGGTAAACACAAAAATCTAAGTTTCTAAGAACAAAAAACTAGCAAATCAAAAAAAAAAACCTCCAAATGGTCCATCAAGAGCTGCTGCAGTTCCTTAGTAATTTTGTATGATTTATTTTTTTACGAGCATCACTGGACTTTTCCGCTGATAATTCTATGTGTTTTCTAAACATTTGTTAATGTCTTTTATATATTTTTTGGACCCATTCTAATTAGAAAATAAATATTGACATAGAAGAAGATTAAAACCAAATAAAAATAAACCAAAACAGCTTAACGATTTTTGAGTCAACTTTCATCAAACTTTTTAAACGCAGGATGAAAGAAACTGGCAGTTTCATCAACCATTTTCACTCAACTCATAGGCACTGCAAGGCAAGTGAAATCAACATCGTTATACCACAGTTTTGGTTAATTAATTTGCGAAAAACCCAAACCAAGCGAAAATGCATGAGCATAAAGGGCAATTGTCTGGCAAAACATCGAACAAATCGCATATTTACTTTCATATTTGCAAAGTTTCACGCTGACTAAGTGTGAAATGGAAGCATGCTAAATGAAATGGATTTTTTCCTTTTCATCTAGAAATATGGCCATTCTCATGCTTACTCTCAGGAAGCCTTATCATTTACACGTGTTATTAAAATCTTTAAGGATTCGTTAACTAACATTATCATTTTTATCACATTGCGTCATTTGTGTGTGTATGTACATTCAGGCAGTTGGAAATCTGGCTGCTAAGCTAATTGATAGGCAATTTAATTCGTCAATTATATCAATTGAACAGCTTACGTTCACTTAGGCTGCATTATATTAAATTGACCTCAAACCAGTAGCGTTTATTGTTCAGTTCCAGAGCACCAGTAATGCTCCACAACTACGTGCATTAACTATGATAAACATTATCTGCAAAGCATATAATATATTTAGTTTGTTTTGTAAATTGTTGACGAGTTTTCTAGTCTAAGACCAATACAAATAAAGTTGTTTAATACTACTATTGTCCAGATTGCCCAATCCCTTGTAGGTCATCAGAACTGGCTAAAAAGCGCACTTTCGCAACAACAAGCAAATAGTTATTTCATAATTAGCTATTAGAAACATTAATTTTATCGATAGGTAGTGCTACTGAGATAAGTTCAAGGCTGCTAATAACTGTTATTCAATTTTACGAAATTACCATTTCGGTTTCCAATTTAAGGTAGATATTTATTTCATTCCTGTAATCTTTATGTGGTTACTAACTACAAGCCACTTATGATCCTTTAAAATGATTTTTGCAAATTTGTTATCAGAGTAAACACAAGACAATTATAAAAGAAAATATAACATCGAGTAGAAGGGACTAAACAGCATCCTGTTTTCCCACTAAGTAGTATTAAAAATTCCTCAAAATTGTTCATTTAGGTCTTAATTTTTGCAACATTTCGTGGGGTTCAGAATCTTGTTTCGTAGACGTTAAATATATTTTTACTGCTCGCGAATGTTAAATATTAATTTTTCTTTTATAACGCGCTTTATTCAAATACAATATAAATAATTTGTTAATATTATAACATGATAGATTGCTAAAGAATCGTAATTTTTTAACGCTTTTTACTGTTACTTTGCCTAATTTTTTATAGGGTTCAGCGATGTTGTAACACTCCAATTAATATTCGCTTTTTCAAATTTTTTGTCTATTCTTATCTTATGACTAGGGTAATTTCGTTTGCGATAAGCACATGTATATTATTATACGCGTCATTAATTCTCGGTAAAACAGAAAATTTCCGCAAAATGCAAATAAATTTAGTCAAAATTAAGTGCGCTTAAAGACAAAATGGATCAGTTTTAGACTTAAAATTGAAGAAGTTTTCTAGCTCGTGGTGGACAAAATAAAAAAATCATTGCTCTGAAACCAGTAGAATGAATCACTTCAAATATTTTCACAGTAAAGAGGAAGGTTTCAGCTAAAAACTCAGAAAAACTAATCAGAATCGGAACGTTGGCTGATTTTTTTGTTGTTTTTTTGGATTTGGACGTAAATTGAAGAATCGTCCAAATTTGTGGCGGAGCTCTACAAAAAATCGCAACTCCCAAACCACGGAAAGCAGTAACTTGAAAACTTAGCCCAGTAAACTGAAATATTTGAACCACAAATCTGAGAAAATATCCAAAAAATCCGAGCGTTGGCTGATTATTCAGAAGGTGTTAAACTAAGACAGAAAATTGAATATTTTCTAACTTGCTGTGGATATAATAAATCTAAACCCCCAAACCGGTGGAATAAATTCCCTCAAACGTCTACTCAGTAAACAGGAAGATTTCAACTACAGACAGAAAATTTCATTAGAATCCGAGCGTTGGCTGACTCTTCGGAAGCTACCAAACTTGCAACAAAAAATTCAAGAATCCTACTAACCTGTAGTGAAGGATAGTGTAGTGATACAGGAAGTTTGATCCAAAATCTGAGAAAATTTGAAGAGAAGCCGAATGTTGCTTGTGTTTCAGAAGCTCTTGATCTTGAACGGTAGATATAAATAAAAAATCGCAACTCTTTTACCGGCGAAACCAATAACTTGAAATTTTTCCTCAGTAAACTGGAAAGTTTTAGCTAAAATCTGACGAAACCTTATAGGATTGCGAGGGTTGGATGATTTTTTGGAAGCCATTCAACTTGCGTCGTTAAATTCAAGAATCTACAGTAGTAGAGTTGAAAGAAAAATCTAAACTTAACGAAACGTAAAATAGCAACTTGAGATTTTTGCACATTAAAAAGAAAGGCTTTACCCAAAATCTGAGGGAATTTCAAGACCATGCGAACTTTGGCTGATTTTACAGAAGCCCTTAAAGTAGCACGCCAAATTGATTTTTTTTTTTAGAACTTGCGATGGACATAAAAAGCAATGGAGCTTAAAAATCAATCCCTCAATCCCTCAAACTAGTAAAATGGATCATTTGAAATGTTTAGACAATGAACAGAAAGGGTTCAGCCAATACCTGAGAAAATTTCCTAAGAATCCGAGCGTTGACTGATTATTCTCGAACGTAAAATTTAAAAATCTTTTTAACTTCTGCTGTGATAACTTTAGATAAAAAATCGAAGCTTCCAATATATGGAAAGTAGCACATTAAGACATTTGGCAACTTTTTTCAAAAACCCTTAAAACTTGGAAGCAAAACTGAAGAATTTTGCTAGCTGCAGTACTTAGCTGCTGGCTTGCCGGAGAGTTAGACAAAAATCACACCAGTAGAATGAATAATTTAAAATGTTTACCTAGAAAATAGAAAGGTTTCAATTAATAAATGAGAAAATCTTACAAGTCGAACGGTTCTCGAACTAGTGCGTTGGCTGATTTTTTTGGACGCATTGAGCGTGGGCATGAAATTCAAGAATTTCCGAACTTCTAGTGAAGCTCAGCAACAAAAAATGCAAACTCCTAAACGACATAAACTGGGAACTTGATGTTATGCAAGAGAGAAAAGAGAGCTTTCACCCAAATTATGAATAAATAACAAATTTTCTAATAATCTAAGAGCGTTGGGTAAATGTTCGGAGACGCACAATTGAAGAATCATATTTTCTTTTAAATAGGACATTCTATACCCATATGTATATTAACTATAAAATTAAATTTGCATTAATTAGAAAATTAGTCCTTTCAGTCATAAATTATGCGGAGTCAATAACAAGTAAAGCAAAGAAAATTTATTAACATCTTGTGAAAAAGAATCCAGTATTTCCATATTTTGCCTTATTGAAACGCACCTTTAAACTGAAAAACTCTTTGAGTTTGAGGCGAGATATAATGTTCACTTGCACTTAGACGAAATGAAGGAAATAATGGTGTCTTTATTTAAATCGCAGATACTGAGGGACCTTAAGAAAAAACATTAACAGTATCTGGAGTGACATATTTAAACAATTTCAGCGTATTAACAAGGCCTGCCTAATCATATCAGTGAACTAATGAGAATTTCAAACTTCGCATTATCTAGATAATCATTTTACCGGCAATTTTTATATTCCGATTTTTAAAACAGCAAACTAAAGAGATAACACTAAATTTACAGCTTGAAACTCTGTACTTGAAATGGCACTTTGATCCACAGGGTACTTTGCAATCCACATGCGAAAAGTTGTGCAACTGGGGCTTGTGTTTAAAAGGCGAAGTACGGATAGGACTTACCTGCATTAAATAAAAAATAATGGGCTTTCATAGGCACCAACTGCTTGTTCACTTCGAATTTCATCTTCATGGGTAAAAACGCGTTAAAACACCGGAAAAAAAACTGTCCCGAAAAACTTAACCTACAAATTGACGATGTGGAATTTTCGCAAACAAAACAACGCGACTGGACAGGCCTTGGAGCTTTTCAGAAAATCCACATTATTGTATGTTTACTTTAGAGTGTGAGGCCTCAATACCCTGTAAGTTGTTATGCAGGAACTTGACAAAAAATGCAAATTTTGACAAATTTGCTCGCTGACAAATGAAATTGCTCGTATCCCCTCCAGTATCGCATTACGTAGATTCAATTTCACACCGTTGCCAAGTGATAAAATCCAAACGGGATTATAGATAATTCCTGAAAACCAGTTCAATGATTAGATTAATTGAACCGAAAATTAACAAGGAGGATCACATTTGACCTTGCCACTATTTTCGTTAAAATGCGATGATTTTCTGGTGCAAGGCTACCCGCTGAAGTTGCCACAATTGGCATTTTTTCTCTTTGTCAGGGGGTGGAAATTGTAGCAAAATTGTGACGTTTAAAGAGGCAGTTGAGGTTATGGATTTTTGAAAATTAAAGCCCCCCGATTTAAATCAGTTCTAATCGAGCTTTTTCCAGTAATAATAGTTTTTTAATAGCTTGAAAGTAATGGCCCTGAGAGCCACCAAACGTTTCCTCACTGTCCACTGCGTCCAAGGTGGTAAGTAGTAAAAAACCGCATGTTTTTCAGCTGATCGTTGTTTACGCACTTATTATTCAACATTATCCAGCAAATTTCTCGTTTAAAGTGCCGTGTAATATTCATCAGATAAACTGTAATCTATAAACAAACGTTTAGTTGATAATGTGGAAAACCTTGACCCCTACTATGTTTCACATTGTACATGATACAAGTACAATTCTCTTTCAAGCATTACAAAATCCTGTTCATTTCAATAAAATAATGACGATTTCAGTCTAGATGTATCCTAGAGAATGTCGGTGCCTAAGAGAGTGATTGTGGTCGGAATTAGTGGCGCAACCTGCAGTGGTAAAACCACTATAGCCAGGGAATTGCATAAACTGTTAGCACACAGCACAGCTTTTTGTCAAGACAACTACTACTTCCCGGTGGAATACCCGAACCATGTTTGGATCCCGGAGCTCAACCACATTAACTGGGACATTGTTACCTCCCTAAACATGGAGAAAATGACCGACGATATTCAGCAACTAATCGCGAAAGAATCCTCAAAAATTCCCCAAGAAACCCTGATAGCTGATGGCAAGCAACAGGTAGCTTATTCTAAAAATGATAAGTTCGAGTACCTGTCTCGAATAAACCAAAGCCAATATCACGTAGTTATTGCAGAGGGATTTTGCATTTTCAATTACAAGCCGCTGGTGGAATTGTGCGACCTCAAATACTACTGCACCTTAGAGTATGAGGAGTGCTTAAGGAGGAGAGTGAAACGAATTTACGAGCCCCCAGATTGTCCTGGTTATTTTAATAAATGCGTCTGGCCAGAGCATCTAAAGCAGTTGGCTGAAGTCAAAGACACTGTGGAGAATGTGGTGTATTTTAATGGCAACAGCTCAAATCAGATAGAAACCATCTTAAAAAACATTGTGCAGATGCTTCAATAATGTAAAACAAAAAATCCATAAAGGTACTTAGGATATTTTTTTTCCAAACAGTTAAATTTGCAATAATCAATGCCTTCCCATCAAACAACGCAATTGTGTACAATAAAACATCACTTCATTATTTAGTACTGTATTTACATTTGACTATAATCACTAAATCCACAAATTTGATGTACGTGTGTAATAAGATCTTAAGTTTTTCACTGGAAAAATATCTAGTACAAAGCAACTACTCAATAAAAGTAATACGCAAGCCATCAAATAGCCTTTCAATTTTAACGTAATGAAAATCAATTAATCTTACACTCTAAGAAAAATATCCGATGGGCCTCTTGATATGAAGAGACCAATTTTGTTAATCCTCCAGATCCAGATCTTCTAGTTCTTGATCTAGGCCATCCAAATCCTCTTCCAGAAATAGGTTTTCGTTGATGGGAACCGCACCAGCAGCATCGTCCTGGTCGTTTGAGCTGCTGCTGGGTTCTGAGACCTCATTCGACTTGAATCTGTCCTCAGCTGCCAGTGTGCCAGTATCGTCAACCTGAAATCGCAGCTAATTTGCACAAGAAACCCCAGTAAGTCAAGAACCAACTTACCTCTGAGCCATCATCTAGCATATCCAGATTAATCTCCTTGTATTCTACTGCATCCTCATCGTCGTTCTTATACATTGTAGAATCGAACGCCTCATCTCCTTCTTCCAGATCAAATTCAGCAGCCATTTCCGGATTGAAACTGAACATTTCTCTGCCTGGAAAGTTTGGTTTTAATTAAACCCATATGGCGAGCGCGGTTTTTTGAATCTCACCTGATAAGCCAACCTGCCTGCCCGCTTTAAAGTCACTGCGCTTCTTGTCTTCATCTTTCTTAGCAGCGTCTTTTTTCTCTTGGATTTTCCGCTTCTTCCAAGCCAGAAAAGTCTCCAGAGTTACCTAAAAGTATGCGTTATGGGGCTGATTCAACAAAAATGTGTGCGCGCATTTTCAGCAGTGTTGAGCGAAATTTGTCATTCATCTGGGATTCGGCCCAAAAGTCAACTCATTTATCGAAGGTTCAAATCGAAATAATAATGCTCTTTAGAGCCCTTTTGTTAAACTTTCTTTCGCGAATTAAATGTTGTCAATGATTCCTAAAATTTAAGTTTTTTTCAAAATTAGAAAAAACGACGAAGTATAAATCATTAGGAAGCTTTAGATAGATCTTCATTGTACACCGTCAGCTTTTACTAGAACCTCATGTCCGTAACGTGGCCAAAACGACAACAAATTAACAAAGATTTAACTAAATACAGATTCGAAACGTACACGGGAGTCCACTGGGAACTACTGTATATTCAAAGCGTTGATCAATGCGAATCAAAACCGCACAAATTGTACTTAATTCCATTGTTCAAGCTTTCACCTAAGTTACTTATTATAATAGTGCTTCTAGCTTTTCAATTTACCTTGGTCTGCTTTGGCCCCAGCGCAGCCCTTTCTTTTTCAATTAGTTCCTCTAGAGTGATTTCATCCTTTTTGTCATCCTTTTTCCTATCTTTCTTCAGCATGAATCCGGGCGGCAGAGCATGCCTGTAGATGCAGTTTTCGCCCGCAGGACATTGCCAGAACCATCCGTATTTGGACTTTTCAACTGCATCCACAAAATACTTGCAAATCTGGAAATCGTTTCGAGCTTAACACAGTGAATTTGTCACGCCAAGTGCTACTAACGATGTCGGTTGCAGCGAGCTTTCCGCCAACGGCTTTTCCATGTTTCTTCTCAATAACCTCCTTTAGTTTTTCCTCATCCCAGTTCTCCATGGTGTCGTTTTCCTCATCATCATCTCTCATATCTACGTAAAGCGATCTCTTTTCCGCTTTGCGCTCAATGGTGAGGTCATGGGAAAATTTGCATTTGTCGCCCTTTCCACATTGGCCTTGTTTGAAAAATGCGCAGACAATGGACTTGGGATCAGCACCTATAAAATATATTTCGTTTGGGGGGTTCAATCCAATAATAAAAGGGAAATATGAGGATATTACCTTTTTCGACCTTTTGCACCTGAACAGGCTTAAAGAGCATTGCCAGCTCTTTCTGTTCCTTCAACTTTTGCTCCTTATCAAGCTTTTTAGTGGCATCTTTCAATGGGTGGACTCCCCCGGATTTCACCTGCTTCTCCACTTGCTGGATAAACTTCTGTTGCTTCGCCCCTTTCTTATTTTTTAGTCCGAAAGTTTTATCCTACAAAAAACACATTGGCCATGATAATTTGGTTCCTTCAATGCCTTAACGAGCAATCTCTATATGTATTTACCAATGTTTATTACTTAACAGGAGACTGGTATTGCAAAAACCAACCTCAATAACTTTTTCCTTTTTCTTCTGTTCGGTCTTTTTACTGGGGGCTGCTGGCAGTTTTTTGGGCGGCATGTTTAGATACTTTTCGTCTATGAAGTTTGAATGAAGAACTATATGCAGAGGTTTCTTTTAAAACGGACAAATCCACATGGAAACAACACTCTCACGTCTTATTATGACCATTTAAAACTGTCACGTTGACAAAAGCCGGGAATAACCTCCAATTCTCGCTCTATTCTCTCATCTTTCACGAATCTACCAAGAAACCTGCCAATTTGCTATAGTAAGGAACTTCACAGCACTCAGAGTTGACAGCCATGTTCTTTTCATAACCTCAACATTCCTTATGCCTAAACAACCCGCATTTTACTTTATTTTCGATAATTGCCTTAAAGTGCAATGAAATTTAAAAAAGCGAACAACTACCAGGTAGCCCCTAACGGGGGCACAAAGCCTGAAAACTTCGACAAGTGGGAAGAAGACTATCAAGAAACAGTAAAGTGGTACGAAGATGGGCTGCAGGAGCCCAAAAAGTTCGACCCCGTAACGGAGCAAATCTTGATAGAACTTAAAGAGGAGGCCAAAAAATGCCATGATTCAGAAGTGGCTAACTACAATATCAGTAAGTTTCCCGTGAAGTAGTTTAGTGCGTTTGCTTGAGATATTCACGTTTTAACAGAGAATTCAAGAACTAACTCGAATTTCCAATGGATGAAGACTGTAATGAACAAGGGAACTGTTGCGGATAAAATTGCTGCCCACACCGTGTCAATCCAGGATAATCCCATTTGCAACTTGGAAACTTTGAGAAACATGGTGAACATGGTCAAAGTGGGCAAAAAGAAAGAGTGTTTCACCGTTATGGGTAAGTTAAATGGATGTTTTATAGTGGATTCGTGAAACTCAACTACGATTGCTTTAGAAACCCTGACGGAGCTGTTCATTTCCTCTCTGCTCAAGCCAGACCAGAAGCTGACACCTTTCCACTCAAAGCCTCTATCCGCTTTGAATGAAATGTCTTCGGGTAATGCCATAACAAGGAGGAAGATACTGAGTCGGTGGCATTTTGAGGACGAGCTTAAGGAGATTTTTACCAGTTTTGTGCTGGCTTTGGGTAAAGCCGCCCAAGACACTGTGGAAAGCAACAAGGAAAAAGCGATTACAGCTATGTTTAAGCTTTTGGCCGGCAATCCTGAACAAGAGAAGGTAAGTAATTTAATTTCATATGTTAATATCAATCAGTTGAAGAGCATTTAACATATTTTTAAACTCTGGACGAACAATCGCTGCTTTTGTCGGCGTTCGTAAAAATGTGCAAAGAGATTGATTCAAAGGAGAGAAGGCCTAAGTGATTCGTTCTGTTGAAATTGCATCATTTTGAAGAACATTGAAACATTTGAGGTCATTGAATGTTTTCGTCAAGTTTCATCAATTTTCAGCTAAAATTTGCAAGTTTTCAAAACCCCTAGTATTCAACATTCTTTTTTACTTTGACTTTGGCTGCAGTTCCAAGGATTTTTCGAAATTTTGTTGACAATAGTTTGTGGAGTTTCAAAAAACAAACTTTCCTGAAACTGAAAGTGAAAACTAGAAATCTCACTGTTCCTCAGGGCATTAACGTGTCAAAATCTGCCCTTCATTGGTCACGTTTCGTAGTAAAAAGTTTAGAGATTTTCAAAAAACAAACTCCCGCTTGAGAACGGCCGTAGCTCCAAAAACTTTTTAAGCTTGCGGAATCATAAAACTGCATTCGAAGGCTGAAAATATTCAGTTTTTTGGGTTTTTGAAATTTTTATTCGGCCCTTAATTGAGCTTGTTTGGGTGAAGAGTTGGGTTTTAAAGACAAACTTGCTCGGTTGACAACTGCCTTAGCTTTAGGGTTCATTATAAGCTGAATCTAAGAACTGCGTTCGAAAGCCTGAAATCTCCACTTTCTTTGAATTTTGTTTTGATTCGTGCTTCGACAACGACCGCAGTTCTAAAGTATTTACGAACTTTCGACATCTAAAAAGTGCGTTAGAACATTTGAAAGATTCCCTTGCTTTAGCATCTAGACATTTCATTATTTGCACTTAACTGGGTTTATTCCGTTAGTTCCATTGCATTCAAAATCTACCCTAAATTGCGCACGTTCTGGAGTAAGGAGTTTGGAGGTTTTCAAAATACAAACTTTCCTACCTTGAAAACAGCCGGAGTTCCAAGAATTTTACCAGCTTTCGGCAGTTAAATACTAAGTTAGAAAGCTCAAAATCTCCGCTTTCTTTCGCAATTTGAAATTTAAAAATTGATCCTTAATTGTGCATGTTCCGAGACATTTCATTATTTGCCCGTAATTGGGTTTGTTCCAAGGTAAAGAGTGTGGACGTTTCAAAAACACACTTTTCCGGTTAAATCCAATTATCTTAATTTTTGGTTATTTTTATATAGTTTGGGGATTTTCAAAATCCAAGCTTTCCTAACTTGACAATATGGCCGTAGTTCCAAGAATTTACGAGCTTTCGACGTGTAAAACTAAGTTAGAAAGGTCGAAATATCGGCTTTCTTTCGCAATTTGAAATTAAAAAATCGGCCCTTAAATGTGCACGATCAGATGTAAGGAGTTTGGACGGTTTCAGAAAACAAACTTTACCGCTTAGCAGCGGCCGTAGCTCCTGGAACTTTACAATTTTTTGGCATTGAAAAACTGCATTCGAGAGCCTCAGATCTCCACTTTCTTTGCCGGTTTGGTCTTTCAAATTGGGCACGTTCCACAGTAAAAAGTGCGGCAGGTTTCAAAAAACGAACTTTCCCTGAAAAACTCTTTCGTGGTTCCAGCATTTTTAGAATATTCCAGTGTTTCAAAACTGCGTGGAAACCTGGAAATCTACCTTTTTGCCAGGTTTATGAGATTTTAAATTTGGCGTTCGAGGTAAAAAGTTTGGAGAAATTCAAAAAACGAATTTTTGGCATATGAAAACTGCGTTTTAAACTTCAACTGAGGTTTTCTACACCTTTAGAAAACATTCTGGTGGATAATCAACTGATTTTGTCATTGTTTGTAAAAATGTCGACGGAAAATGAACTAAATTTCTGTAAAGCATCTAAGTCTGCGACTAAGCGAATTTTGATATCGTACAATCAGCCTCTGATTTCGGAAATCGGTCCAATTCAGGCAAAAACTCCCGAACGCCTCAAGAACGTCCAAGCAAAGGAAAAGCGAATTGTAGTTATTGAGAAGTTGAAACGGGCGACGTCTTTTGAGGCAGCAGTGAATTTTAATAGTGAGCGTGACACGGATTGCAAGCCCGGAAGACTGGTGAAGGGAAAGTTGAGCCCCAGTTGTAAAAAAGAGGTTTTTATTGCGCGCATAAAACCCCAACCTGATCAAGATGCTGAACACCCTTTGAATTATGTGTGCTTTTCCAATAATGTTTTACAATAAATTATAAATCCTTGTCGTTCAAAACACGTGCTAATGGTTTCTTGCAGAATCTTCTGGCAAGTATAATCAATAAACTGGGAGATCCATCTCAAAAAGTCGCTTCGAAAGCCATCTACTGCCTCACTCAACTACTTTTCAAGCACCCGAACATGCAAAGCGTGGTGCTAAAGGAGGTGGAGAAGCTTCTTTTTAGGGCCAACATTAGCAGCAAAGCCCAGTACTACTGTCTGTGCTTTTTGAGTCAGTTTTATCTCAGTCCCGAGAATCCTGACGTTGCCAAGAAGATGATTGATGTGTATTTGGCTTTCTTCAAGGCCTGTGTTAAGAAGGTAACTACTGTCGATTTACCATAAAAACAGTTTAGGAAAGATACGTCTTTCAGGGCGAAGTTGATAGTAGAATGATGTCCGCTTTACTCATGGGAATTAACCGGGCATATCCTTACTCAAAATTGGAGTTTGATGATCTGTCGGGTCATGTGGACACTCTATACAAGCTGACGCATTTGGCAAGCTTTAACATTGCGCTTCAGGTCCTGACGCTGCTTTATCACGTAACGGGGGAGAAAATGGCTGATAGGTTGGTGACTAATTAAACGCTAAAAGCCACCTAAACTACTTTTAAATGTTTTAAGGTTCTTTTCCGCCTTGTATAAGAAGCTGATGGATCCCAAATTGCTCACAACGACACACCAGGCCATGCTGCTGTCCTTACTGTACAAATCGCTAATGAAAGATACTCAAGTCGAGCGCATTAAAATGTTTGTTAAAAGATTGCTGCAGATTTGCCTGTTTGTACAACCGTCGTTTTCCTGTGGAATTTTATATTTGATTACTCAGCTGTTTTCGAAAAGGACCAACTTACAAGCGTTGACTTTAAAAGAACTCGAACTGCCTGACTTGGATCGCTTTGGCGACGATGAGGAAAAGTACTATGATATCAAAGATGAAAAGGATGACTCGATTTTACAGTTGGAAGAAAAACCAGGTCCGGCTACAGTTAGCGAATCTATTGCTGATAATAATGAAGAAAACGATTGTACAGATGATATAGAAATCAAAGAAGAGGATGAGAAACCGGACATTAATGCCTTGGATGTTTCCTTTAAGGGCAATGGATGGGTCCATGTAGTTCCTTCAGATAAAAAGGCTTTTAAAGCGATTATTAAGTATAATCCCATGGCCAGAAATCCCCTCTTTGGGGGCGGAGAGTTTTTGGCGTACACAGAATTTAGATATTTGGAGAATCACTTCCACCCCACAGTTGCGCTGTGGGCAGGCAAAATAATGAAAGGCGAAAAAGTTAATTATCCTGGGGACCCTTTGAAGGACTTCACGACGATCCGATTCTTGGACAGGTGAGTTAAAGGACATATCCGAACATATGTATGTGATACATATGATAAACAACATGTATGTGATACTTTAGGTTTGCATTTAAAAATCCTAAATCCCTTGAAGACAAAACGGGCGCCCATCCAACGTTCGGAAAAAGGAAAATGTACAAACCGAAAGGAGTGAAGACGCTTCGGGTGAACACGAAAGGCTACCTGAATGAAGACGAGAAGAATATTCCTGTCGACGAACTGTTCCTCTATTCGTAAGTTTTATTTTGAATACGAAATTAATGTACCGCATGCGAATAATCAACGTTCTTCTAGGTATCTCCAACAAAGATACCAGGATAGATCAACGTTTAAAGATGAGGATGACAGCGATCTGGAGTCCGTACAGAGCGACGAATTTGAGGAAATGCTTGAAAGAATGCCACAATTTAAAGTAGGACCGCCGCCAGAATTAATCGCGATTTGGTCGTTTATTTAATATTTTTCTAGGATGCAGTTGGAGATGCAGATCTTGATTTTATGGGCGAAATTGGCGATAACCTCAAGAAACAGAAGAAGGCAACTAAGAGGAAATCTACTCAAGATTCTGACGAGGAAGATGATCAGCTAAGTGATGAAGAAGACGGGCTCAGTGATGAAGATGATGGGCTCGATGACGAGGAAGATTTGATGGACGGTGATGACTTTGAGGGTGAAGATGAGGACTTGGACGAATTAGAGCCTACGGAGGAAGATTTCGGTAGGGGCTAACAGGCGTTGCTTTCAAATAACCAGGTTTTTCACGTTTAAACATTTACAGCTCTTCTTGATGGGCTGAGCGACGGCGAAGAAGACATGGAATTTGGAGGCTCGGACTCAGAAGATGAGATGAAACCAAAGAGAAGCTCGAAAAAGGGATTGAAAAAGAAACATTCAAAGAACGATGTTGGCTCGCTTTTGGCATCGGCAGATGAATTCGCCGCATTGCTTGACGATGAAGGCAGTTCCGTGCATAAACCTGGCAGTTCAAATGTTATGGATAACAAGGATAAAGCTAGTAAGTGATATGGGTGAAATGCATGGAAGTCGGTGCTATGTTTCATTTAATATCTAGGTCAAAAGCAACTAAAGTGGGAAGAAAGCCGAAACAGGTGGCTCAAAGGATTCAATAAAGCGACAGGTAAAGAAGGGCGCAGTTTCTCGAAAAAACGACCCAGCAAAACCATGCCAGGAAACTCGAGTAAAAAACCTAAAAGGAAATAAGGCACGGGGATAGTTTTTGTTTGGTCCAAATGTCCGTATTAACGTAGAATAGTTTTATTCAAATAAAACAGAATACGATTATCCTAATTGCATTCTACGAAGTGTCTTCAGGCCTAATCACAAGACCCATCCAACCAACCATCCCTCCATCTTTCATTGACTTTGGAGCAGTCAAACACTTCTTTTCCTACTTTAACGTTGACTTTATTGTGGAGTCGACAGAGCCATTGACTGAGCTGCTCTTGCGACTCGACTTTTGGAGGGTCGATTTTTATTCTAGAGAGATAGATATATTACGGATCTTAAAAGTACTCGACTTTTCTCAGTTTATGTAATAATTATCAAGCGAAGAGTGCAGGGATGAAATGTATTTTGGCCAAATTGAGTGAACCTAGCCGATAGCCGGCTTTTGCCGTCCATGTCATAGTTTTTATAAGTGCATACAGGAAAAACGTGTCAAGTCAACGCATAGATGCCTTTTCCTTTCCAATTGCATTTTGAAACACACTTTTTAATATTTCCATAGAACGTTATATTAATGAGTTTAAAACCCCGGTCAGTAAACGGTGTATCAGATGACTGGACGTTTTTTCCCCTATAGGAAGTTTTCAAGTGTAAAAAATCGTTCGAATAGGACTGCCACCATGTAAACTGATGAAATCCTATTTAGTTTGTTAGAGAGCTTTAACTTACTCTTCTCTCAAGTCCTCAGCACAGTGCTGACATGGGTAGAATTTGGCAAAAACATTAAAAAACGTTTTCATGTCGCATTTCTGGACTTGTGAGGGTTTTTCCGGGTACTTGGCAGCCATGCTATGCAGCAGCCCCCATGATTTGTTGCCTAACTCGTCTTTATCTAACGGGCAATCAGTTCTCCTGGGTTTCGAGATATCCGGCTAGAAACAAGATTGCCCAATATGATGTCACTGTTCTCCCCTTCTAGGGGCTACTTGCTTACAAGTTTTTCGGCGTTTTCCTGCGTGGAATTGTCGGGAGCGCCCGCTCCAGAAACATTATTCCCATTTTCGTCTAGTTTCTTTTTCTTGGTGGCTTTTATGTAATCGGAAAAGCTGGAGCAGGAACGACATTGTTCGTTATCCAGAAGTGATGGGCGCCTGTTCATATCATCCAATTACACATATTATGCCGAACAATGCTGAAATGTATGAATGTTGTGCCAGGCAATGAAAATGAATGATACACTTGTCAATTTTGTGGAGAAAGATTTGACTTATTTTAGATAAATACCTGCTTTTAATTGTTTAGAGGGTTTTTGAAATTGACACATAACCTATCAAAGTGAAAGAGTGCTCATACAGAGCTGCCAGGCTTTATTAGTCGCTGATCCAAAGGGGACAAATGCTGTCGTTCGCAACGCTAATGGATGATAAATTTATTCAAAATAAAATACTTCCACAAGTAAACGGCAACGATGCGAGCGAGTGAGTTGAAAGTGAGGTTAACTCAGTCGTAGAATTGTCAAGAATTTATTTCTATTTGATATACAAATGTGTAATTGCTTTACTAATTTGTAGCGTTTGCAACAATTTCAGCCACAAAAGGCCCCTGCCCCTTTGCAAGTTTCTAGATTATCAGGCACGGGCGTCATTAAGGACCAGAAAATGTGATCATACCGTTTCAAAACTATTGGGGAAAAAACATCTTTATTTATCCGTTCCAGTGGCCCCAATCTCTACAGAAACAACTTTTCGGGATTGATTTATTAGCACAATTTTGAATATTCACAACCGCATCTTAAAATAACCCGGTTATGCATAGGTCCGGACACCCTGTATTATCGGATTTTAGGACCAAAAAAACTTTAATAGTCAACCTTTGTGGAACCAAGATGAACCCAAATGGCCTCATTGATACCTCTCCGCCTTGGTATATTTGGCGGGGCAATTGATTGGGGTAAAAACTTCGTAGTCAGCAACTGCAAAGTTGTAGTCACCCATCAGGACAGAGGACGAGGCTCCATCTCCATCATAAGTATGGGGAAGATTTGAGTAGCTGTCCATGTTGGTGTTGCAGTTGCTGGATATCAACAAGTCAGCACCCGCTCCGAATATTGGCCCAGAACTATTGAGAACATTAGCAAGTTTGTCTTTAGTTGAGAAGACCGCGTCGTCAAACTTACTCAGGATGGTAGCAAATTGCAAAGGGCTTCTTTACAAGACCGAATTGTGTTGGAGGCAAGTCTTGGTGATTGTACAAGGTGAATAAAAACGCTTTATCGGCAGCGACGTAGCGGCTTTTGCCTGGTGGTCTTGCCCAGGCAGCGTCGCTGAATCCTCCGCAAATTTCCCCTCTCGCGCCCTACCGAACGAAAGAAACACAATGCATTGAGAGAAGCTTCAAGAGCCTTCAACCAACTCACTAAAACCACAACATAAGTCGGGGATATTCCATCGCAGTGTCTATGGAAAGCTGATGCGGCAAACCCATGGCTGCTGGCTCTATAAATAAGCCTCCAAGTCTGCTTTTGCTGTCCGAACCACGCGTTGAGGATCCGCTGGTAGTGGCTTTTGTCCTGACCTGAACACAAGATTATTTGGGTGCGTTTTGTTCAGTTGAGTTACGTGTAAGTATCTGGTATGGAAAATACGTGCTTTTTTAAAGTGCACCTATAACTTAAGTGAAATTGTTTCAAACTGCACACACAGATAGAAAACCCAAATTCCAATGCCTTTTCCTTATTATTTAGGTTCACTTTATTAAGAGCTGCTCTGTTAGATTAGTACCAATTATGAGAGATCCTGGAAATAGATGTGGAGAAATCCGCGGTTTAAGACGCAAGTCTTCCGACGCCTCTGGATACTTGCTGGGAAGGGCCGCATGTCGGTACCGTTCCAAGCTCAGCTCCATTGGGACTGCTCCTGTGGGTTCCACCTCTTCGGCAAATACTTGAGAATCTGAAGGTAAATCAGGAGGGTCTGGGAAAATGTACTTTTAGTGAGTTTGGGAAATAGTTACCAATCAGCAGCAGACGCACGTGATTGATAACGTAGGATAACTGTTGGCATACTCGCGCTCTTTCCTCCTCGTTCCAATGAGGGGTTGGCTGGGTGACTCCAACTTGATATTTAGCCCAATTTAATACTGCCCTCCACACATCTTCCTCTTCAAGGCATAGCTATAAAATATGAATAGTTACCCCATTTATTTTATTAGGTTTGAGGGTCCGCACCATTGCGCATTTAAGTTGGTTGTGGGAGTATACAAAAAGGGTTTTTTTTAGGTTTCACGTTTATGAATCTCAACTCTTTTTAAACTGCGCCACTGAGCATTGGAGTTCGCTGAAAGAATCTAGTTTTTACTTACAGTCGGCTTAGAAAATCGCCATATTCTATCCGCCCTCATAACGTAGTATTTTAAGATGCTATCATGCATGCAAATGTTTTGCGTCTATAGGCAAAAATAAAACAATAATTTGCATTTATTTAAACTGAAAGCAGAATTAAAATTCTAATAGTTGCATTCGAACAATATTTAATTTAAAACCATCTGTAGTATAGCATATAAAACAATCGTTTTGTTTCTTCATTTTCTTCCTTGTTTCTGACTGTGTTCATTTAAAGATTTATCTCTTTTTAATTAAATATTTCCTAATGTTGCTTTGCTTTTTTCTTTTACATGTAAGGGCGGTCAAAGCAATTATAAGAAAGTAATTAACTGTTTCAATAATCACAAACGTGGAGAACACGCACAAGACGGAACTATTAAAATTAAAGGAAAAGTGTTTTTATGAAGAACAGTCAGTGAAAAGAAGTTTGGAACAAAGATAAGGAGACCTGACCCAGAATATCTCTGTGTATTCTCTCAACCATTTGGTCAAAGCGATTAATGGTGTGGACAATGAATGGTAATAAATAATAATTATTTGATCTAAAAAATGCTTCAAAATCTTACATAATCTGAAGATATCAGCTTGATGAGTGCTTCCTTCGTAAGTGATAAAAATGAGTTGGTTCGCACACATTCTGCAGCATTTTCCCCTATGTAGGTAACACATCTTTCTATGAAGCCTGAAGTTGCTTTGCCACCTGTAGTGAATCACAAGTGTTAAGCAGAAAATTAATAGGACTCCACTTGAAGCTTTGGGGGCCGGAACTCAATAAAATCAGATTTTTGTCCTTAGCAAACAGATTTATTCGCTATATTTAAACTTAAATAATACAATAAAGAGCCTTAAAGTATTGAGTTTGGAAGTCCCCCCTAGTTAGGATCTTCAACACTATCAGGCTTGACCATTTGAATCACGGTGATGTTGTCCCCTTTGAGCATGATGCGCCCCAAGGGCCTTCGGTGCATCGTTTTAACGTACAGTTCTTCGGCATCATCCAGCACCAGGTTCATGTACTCATCGAAGCCGACAATGTGGCCCTCAATTCGGAGCCTCACGTTCTCATACAGCCACACTTGCACTCTGGATCGGTTCTGCAGGTATCGGAAGATCAGGTTGATGGGTTGCACCATCACTTTTTGCACTTTTTGCGGTTTATAAGCCATCGCGAATGTGTTTTATTGCAAGCCACAAGATTATTTACTAGCAAATTCAGGTTAGAGTTTGGCGCTTTTGTCAAGCCCGTCTGTCAAATCAGCGTCACTTGCAGTATACACTGCTGAACGCGTGAAGGCAGGTAAAAAGAGATCGATACTGGAGATTTTGTATGAAAGATGTGAGCAAGTGAGATATGACCAGGTCGATTAGGTACAACAAGTGGACACATAGATTTTTACACTATTGCCGGATTGAAATGAGGCATATTATATTCTCCTATCTAGTTCATTTTTGAAAAATGTTCGTCAAAAACAATTAAGATTATGGAAAGGAGAGACGTTTAAAAACCGCGCCTAATCTTTCTTCTGAATAGAAGCGCAATGTTGCCAAATAGTGTTCAAATTCTGAGAAACTTAATATACACATTCCTAGAAAGTTATTAAAATAAAGGCTTTGTCTTCCAATTGAGGCGGATCTTCGACGGCCAAAATTGCACCGTTGGGAAGCGTTTCAATTCTCACAAAATCATAACTAACGGATTTTTTGGCTCGAATGGTGCCTTCATTTGGATAAACGTGATAGAAGTAAGTAATGTCAGTGGCAACGTGGCTTTTGCACAGTTGGCATCAACTGACATAATGACGTGGCGTCCGGTACAAAAGTGTCGTAAAACTTTTAGAAAAACGAAAATTTCATAAAATGTAAATACTTGAGTGCCCTGAAATATGGTTTGCTAGTCTAAAAGGCAGAATTGCACATGTGCATATCCATGAGCGGCGTTCGAAAGTTTCCAAATGTAAGTGATATTTTCTTTGCAAATTTTAAAATATTTTTCGGTTGTTTTCTTTAAACTACTCCACTTAAAGTGTAGTTAAAGTTCAGTTGAAAGGGTAGTAAATGCGAAATTTACAGCTTTTTTACATACATGAAATTTGTCGACTTGTCCGCAATGTTTGCTATATTGCGAGTTTTAAAGCAACCGTTAGTCGAATTTATCTGCAATTCTCATACATGTACAGCCAGAGATGCCAGGTCTACCGATTTGTCAAGGATCCGACCGATCTACCGATACCATGCAGATTTCTACCGAAAAGTAACAAATAAAAGTTAAAAAAAAATTCGAAGATTACTTAAAATAATATAACATATTTCCATTCATGATCAAAGTACGTTGGTAATAGCAGATATTTTATTTTAGCACACCTCATATTTTAGAGTTCTTTTTGAAACATAAAATGAATCAAGCCCACCCTATGCGATAAATCGGCTTGGCGGCGATACTTTAAACGCTTATTTCGACCGGCAAACAGGGTGTTTATTTTAGTATGCCTGTAAGTTTAAAAATTGAAGTTTTGAAAAACGCGCTATTTTATGGGACTTTTTTTTTGGTGAGGTTATGGACCTTCCAATCAGCTCTAGGTGTGCATAACAGAACATTTCCAAAACCTCGCCAGATGGATCCCTTAATAATGAAGGAAAAATGAGTCTACCGATTTTCTACCGAAAAGTGTCGAGCTTATCTACCGAAACTCGATTTTCGGACCTGGCAACTCTGTGTACAGCATAGTCTGAAATTATTAACTTTCGACCGAATGTTCATCCGGGTATTTTCCCAACAGGACTTCTACCGGATTACTGCTAGACGAGTATATTGCGATGGTGGTGTAATGGTCAGCATAGTTGCCTTCCAAGCAGTTGATCCGGGTTCGATTCCCGGCCATCGCAAGTACTTTTTATTTTTTATCGAATAATTTTTAACATTTTTTACCTGCTGATCTGTCCTGTATATCCATCGCCGTGGTTAAAAACGTGCATGCAGAAGTGATTGATAGAGTTGAGGTTACATGGTCTTCGCAGGCATTCCTCAGCTCATCAACTCCCAATTCCTGCGCCAGCGCCATCATTTCAAACACGCTATTGTCTTGCAACATTATCTACAGATACGGATAGAAATTAGCTACAGAAACGACATGTTGAGCAAAGAAAATGCAGACAATTTTTCTTGATTCTCACTTAAATTGGGCCCCAGTTTTTGGCTGTTTAATGAGTGTCCTTTAGGAAAACTACCAAAGTAATGTCGATTCAAAATTGTCGGTTAAAGCACTAGAAATTAGGATGCATCATTTTTAAAGGAATTTTAAGTAAATACTAATTTTGATTGAAATGCTGGTTTTGCTCGCGTTTACTTGAAATCATGTTAATTTGAATTGTGGTGCTGTTTGTTGTTCTAGTATAAGTTACTTTTAACACAAACTAACAAAGGCAGAAAGTTTCCAAACTGGATGGAAATTTCAATTTTTTTGGAATAAAATACTCGAGCTCAACAAAAGGGATTGTACGGGTAACAGTGAGCATAAACCCCGAAAAATTACACTCTATAGATTGCCGCACGTTCAAATTTGAGATAAATAACTCATAAGCGCTACACGCTGTAAGGAAAAAGTGAATCCAGTAAACTTTTGACACCCTGTATCTGGTAAACCAAGCGTTTACGGACCGTTCTTTTAATGCATTTTTTGTGTTATTTTTGGGCATACAATATGCAGTCTAATTTCGGGTCTCCCGGTATATCACCTACCTTGCCTGTGTAGACATAATTTAAAAATTGTCTGAATATATCTGACAGTACTTGTGGTAACCGGACCATAGTGGGGGTGCCTAAAGCAGTAGGAGAAACCGTACAGCCTGGTATTCTGCACACTTCAACTCGTTTGGCGATTTGGAAACTTTTGCATCTGAAACACGCCAAAAAGTTCCCAGTTTTATATGATCTTGTTGAGTCTTTCATTTTCCAAGCTAAGGAGGGAAAAGTTATTTTCCCCACTTGCTAGGGATTTTATGCCGGTTTTTTACAATATGAGAATAATATTGCTCTTTGCCCTATTGTGGGGAGCCACTCGGAATGCATGTTCATACAATTTCCAGTGTTAATATCATTCAATGGATTTTCCTTGTGCACTGTTTCGAGTCGGCTAATTGTCGAACTGATTTCATAATATAATGCTCGTTTCGGTATCGAAGAACGCTGCAAACTCGACACAAAGGAGCACATATGCGCTTGAAAGTAGCTGTTCCAAAGGAAAAGATCAAAGTGAAAAATAGCCAATTTCACGTTGAAGCCAAGTAGTCTTCAGGTTGTCTGTAATTAGCATCATTGCACAGGACAAGAGGGCCTCAAACCAGAAAGCAATATTCTAAGTAGGAACACAAAGCAAAATATAGAGGCTTTGATGTTCCCTTAATGAATAGCATGGCTTTGATATCGGTTTAAAATGTTTAAAAGCAACAGTTTCAAGTGCCGCCATAATTCTTTGTCAAAAATTAAAAAAAAGTTTATTGATAACGTTTGTAACTTTTAAGTGTGAATTTGCCATTTTTTTCCTATTTGTTGTCCACTTGTCCACCGAGCGATACCGATAATTATTGTTATTAAATTATGTCTTCTAACAAATTGTTGCAATTCGTTGCAGTAGGTATGGAAGAATATTAAAATTATTGATTTGATGTTTTGAGACAAATTAATAGCGAAACTATCGTCATACCGTCACTGCGAAATAGCTTGGGTTAGTGTATGGTCTGTCATACACTTGATATTAAGTAATTTATTTAGAAAAAAATTGGATCGTCCATTAATCAATCCAGAAAAGACAATAAAGTTCATCCAAAATAACCATTTTTGGGACGATTTAGCAGCAAAAACTCCGGGAAAACTTATTTGCGTGTCTAAATACACGGTTTTAGAAAAGCAAAAGCGTTCGTGTTTTTTAGAAAAATTTATGGACGAACCAACTTTTTCCTTACTAAAACTGCTTAATATCAAGTGTGCTTTAAGTTAAAATAATTAATGACTTGGACAATCGCATTTGAAGTTAGACATAGACTTACCTCCTAGAGAATCTATTTACTAACAAATTTTGCTGTTTTTTTGGAGCAAAATGCGTTTTTTAACTAAAATTTATTCAGGTGCGGATCCAGCTTTCGATTAAGGGGGTCGGTCAAGTAGTAGAAATTCGGTCTTTTGTTGTCCATGAAATTAGAAAAATTCTCGTTAGTCGTTAAAAACCAAGCACAAGGGGGGGTCATGACCCCCCCCCCCTTGGATCAGCCCTTGCATTTATTGCATAATAAGTACCACTATTTTTTTAATAAAAAAACAACGGATTTCATGACGTCCTCGCCAGTACCTACGTCAATCAATACGAAAATTTCCGGACATAAATTTGCTACTTTGGTAAAAAATTGGCAAGCTGTTCAGGAATGTTACAGGGTGTTGATTTCTGCCCGTGCAACTTCGGTGTTGTCAGACGTGACAAAGTGTACTAAAATGGGGTGGTCTGCTAACTTTTTTGAGCGAGAAGTGGTCGAAAACCGCATTTGCACACGAAACACCAATAAGAAAAGTTGTTAGTAAATGAATTTTCTACACGCTTCGCATATAGTTAGCTTCTAGATCGATTGGGCCTTAAACTAGCCATTGATACACAAAACACGATACGGAAGAAAACCGTTGAATGAAGTCGGTTTTGATAAACGCAGTGTTAATTGGTTAATGTTTTCGGTACGTTGGGAATGGAAACTGAAAACGTTCAATTGTGTCCGTTGTTGTGCCATCAACTTCCAAGCGAAGATTTGGCAACTAATTATGATAATTAGGTACATACCTTGCCATTAAGATAATCCGATGAGCATAAATCCTCTCTTCTTCTCGGCCCAGAAGGAACACGATATCGGCCGAATCAGTGTCTTCTGACAGACGCTGAAGATCGTCCAGAAGCCGGGGAACCCCAGCCAGAGCCTTATCCGTAGACAAACTTGCGGCATTTAGGCCACCAACTCGCGAACCCATATTTGCAATTAACTTCGATAATTAGAAGTTTTTCTGTAAAACACCATACACTGCGACATGTATATTTTGACGAAGCACTCGACAATTTAAAAGCATTTAAACCATGTTTTTTTCTGAAACATTCAGTGAATAGTCGCTGTGTTTTCGTTCTGGGACATGATTAAACGGTCCAGTGGGTACCATAGGCGGTACTGGGAGACTGAGAAAACAAAAGATCGCCGGCTAAAACGATCTCAGGTAGGTACAAGCAAACTAGATGCGAAGAAGTTGACTGAAAAGCGGTTTGTTTCGCTCGCTTGAAGCAAGTTTGGACGTACGTTGATTTGCACAGTACAAACATTTGATGGTTTTTCTGCTTTGTAAGCAACTGAACGTATTTTTTTGGTGCTTTATTGGTAATTTGAGCGCAAATTTGCATAGTGATAGTGAAGCAAATGTTCCTCGAGTTCGTTTCAAACTGTTCGCTTCAAGAGTCGTACGTCGAATTATCCAAGCGAGGTTGTGGTCTTCGGGAGGTAACAAACCATAGAAACGCCCCGGGCTACTTGCAGGTTTACTGGCCGCAACGTTGACGAATCTCAGATTCTCCTTTCGTTTTTCGGCATTTTTCATTGAGACTCTCTCTCATTCGTATTTCGGATTATATCGTCGTGGATTTTCGTTTGCATAATTCATTTTGGGAAGTTTTAAGGACATCAGACCCTGGCCTGCGCCATATACAATGCGCTTGTCTTAACGAAAATCCTTATGTCAACAACTTTTCGACTACTTTTTGCTCCTTGAAATTTCCTATCTTTCCATTAGAAAACAAAGCCGGGATCGTAGTTATGGGTTATGAAAATATCAATATTTCTCCATTCTGCCGCACATTGTAACAATTTGATAAAAGACATATGATAATAGGATAAAATTTCCGTCTCGCTCGGTGGACAACTACCTAATATAAAAACGACAATGATTGCGTCATTGCCAAAAAGTATGGGACAGGATACTATTATTTACACCCATAGTATTAACTAATTCAGGATGCGCTAACAATTAATTGGTTGCTCGATTGAGCACGTGATTATCACGTTATATTATTTTGAGATTCGTACATGTGACATTTTCATTCATAAGAGCAGTCCATAAGACGTGATTCTTCGTCCTGATCTCGGCATAAAATTGCCCTCCTTCATAATCTCGAAGCTTAAAAAATGACTAAAAACTAGTGCCCAATGGAATTTGTTTTATTCTGCTAGAGCGTAGAGTAATAAATATCTAAAAAATGCATTGAGTTTTATATTATAAGGCAAAATAAAACTAGAAGAAAACTAAAGAAATACTGCTCAATTTCATCAACTCAAGCCTGCAATTATAAATATAAGTAAAATTTGTTATTGGAAAGCATATTTTCTGTTAACTGTTTATAATTATGTGTTTGCTCTTATACTAAATTTTATGTTATTGTTATTTCATTCAATTATGTTTTATTGTTTACATCCATTAATAAATCTGTGCTTGTTAAATTATTTATATGGTTTCATTTGCTTTGCTGACCACTAAACACATTTTCATGCGAAACAAGTGACATTTTTGAGTGGTTTGTGACGTCCGTGTAGGCCATTATGGATATTATTTCACTATGACATATTGCCGTGATATTTACGTCTATTGGAGTGACGAAATTGGTCACTCTGACGTCTTTTTCACGTCATTATTATGATCAGAGCTGATGACTTTGAAAATGCAATTATATGTGACTGCCATAACTTTATGCTATGGTTCGATAATGTCCTCTGCTACTCATTGACTGAAGTTGTTTTTTAGATTCACTATTTCTTATTGATTTTTAGTAATTTTGACCATTTTTTTGTAAGAAGTATTTACTTGTAAGATTTGCTGGTTAAGAAAGTGTCAGTACAAAGTGTAATTTTTTTTTCTCGCTATGTGTTTTAGAAAAACAATCAACTTTGTAACAACATAATAAATAGTTGAAGACGAAAAAGTTATATAAAAAGTTTGACGGTAGTTGGAAATTTCAATGTAAAGTAGGTTTGATAATTCGGATGCAGTGCAATGTATTAAAATTTATATTTAAACTGTTACTTAACATTTTGCACTTCCAATTTAAAAATAATTAATAAATAATTTTAAAGTTAATTATTTTGAAGCTATACGAACGCTCACAAGACTTTATACATGTCTCGATAGCCGTGATCGTCTAGTGGTTAGGACCCTACGTTGTGGCCGTAGTAACCCAGGTTCGAATCCTGGTCACGGCAATGTGCAAACATTGTCACGGTGAGATCAACTTTTTGAACTTTTCATTTAGTTCTTAATATTTTTATTTTTCTTATATACTAGTTGATAATACTAAATGCTCTTAACCTACTAGACTAAAAAAAAACTTATTATTTCTCCATTAGAAACGTGGCGAATTTTTTATTCGGTCATAAATTTACATTTTACGGCATAAAAGTAAGTACATTAATATAATTCTGCAAATTGATTTAAATAACTAAAAATTGTATGTAGCCTAAAGAAATCTGATATCTTGAATGACATGCCTAACTTTTAAGCCATACTCATTGCCTCCGTGGCGCAATTGGCTAGCGCGTTCGGCTGTTAACCGAAAGGTTGGTGGTTCGAGCCCACCCGGGGGCGGAACGTTTTTGCTGCACTACACACCGAAAATGTGATTTTTTTTTCAAATTTTAATTCCCAAAGATATTTTTCAAAAAAGGTTTTGTGAATATCACTTTTGGGGTAGATTGCAAAACAGTGTTTGTTGACTACTCATTTTTTCATAATTATCAGCTATTTTCTTATCGCCCCAATGAAACCAACTTGAGAAATTTCACTTGAAAGGATAACGGAATTAATTTCTCAATGTGAATCAATTCAATTGTTTTTCATGAAATCGGCATTTTTAGTGGCAAAATTGACTTGCTGGGTGTAACTTGAACTAATTAATGTTTAAGATGATGGAAAATTGTTACTGGTTGTTCATATACTATTTATATTCGAATATATAAAAAAGTTCGATTTAACTAACGACTTCTTCTGTCTGATACCTAATTTCTATTGATTTTCGCACCTTTTCCAAGAGAGAAGCGCATCAAAGGGATTTTGAATCGATTATTTTATACATTTTTTTATTGATTTATTGTGCCAACAAAATAAACGTTACATAACAAAACTTTTCTTAACTGCGAAAGTGGATATTTAAATTCCGATTGCCTAGAGCGATTTCGTTACCGTTTGAAGCGTTATCCAGCCCTATGTGTTCTAATAAAAATTAAGCAGCAACATTTTCTACAGGGCGGCCAATGAAAAAATGCAAAATTTCGGACAATTCGGCATGCTCCTAGTTGGAGGAAGGAGATTTGACTTTTAGATCATATTGCCCATTGATTTAACAAAAGATCAACTTTTTGGACTTGCAACGATAACTTTCATGCTCTTGGATCGATTTTCACGATTCAGAGCTCATGTTGAAGCTAAAACCTCAGAGGTAATTTGAAGAAGAAGAAAACTTTGAATGTTTGAAAATTTATTTGAAGACCAAAAAGTTAATTTTTCTAAGGTCACTCTGTAAATGAACCAGATGTTCGAAAAATTCAAAAATCGCTTTTGAATATTTCTCTATCGGTATCTTAATGCATGCCTGTGGAGTTGAAATTCAAAAACAGTTTCCTATCCTATCCTATTGATAGCATGTGGAACTGTCACCAATTTTGAATTGTTTCATTTGTGACCCGGTAGACATTTTATCTGACCGATTAATTCTTTGCAAACAAACGCACTAACTGAAAAATAACTGTACTAAATAACGCTTCAAATAGAAGTCAAATCGCAGTTAGCAATTTTCATCCAGTTCCAAAATTAGTTCCGATATTTGTTCGTGTAACGTCTATTTTATTTTGTTGAGCAGTTTATTAATTATATATTTACTCAGAAAAGTGCGAGAGAATTGCTCTCAGCTAAAAACAATCATTATCAGCAATGAGAATAGGAATTTTCGAATTTTCTACAAAAATATTCTTCTTGAAAACTGTCTGTTAGAGAATTGTGGACAATCTCCAAATTCATAATAAATATATAATGAACATTCTCCAGCACGAGTTAAATATTTGAAAATACCCAACAAGAAGTTCGTAAAAAATTAAATATTTGAGGCCTGAGTTTTTCAGACAATACAAGGTAGAATGTGGAAAATTATACTCAAAATTGAAAAATTGAACCAAATTAAGAAAAAGTATATGAACGATTTAACCATTAACTAGATTTTAGTTAATTCAAGCTGATTAACATTTGAGACGATCAAAATGAAAAACTGGACGAAACCATATAAATATGGAAGAACTACAACAATGTTTATTTTTCATTCATTGATACAAATTTAACTAGTAAACCTGGATTCTATGTAAGGAAATCCGTTTTGCTCAACCCATATTTTTAGCTTCACAGCTTTAGCTCTCTTCGTTTGGGTTAGTTTGGTCGGTTAGTTAAATTATGACCAATAATTGAATGCCATTCATGAATAATATTTTACACAAATGCGCAAAATGCTTCAAATTGTGTGGTTGTTAATGGTGAAAATACAAGTTTGCGTGCTTAGGTGCGTTTTGGGGTGTTAGTGCGTATAACTATATATTTTAGGAGACCTGAGACTGGAATTTTCACATCTAAAAAAAGGTTATTAACATTTTTCCTGAGTAACGTTTTACTGCTTTGTTCAAACAACTAAAAAAAGTCATCTAGATTTTCGCAGCAGCAAAGTTTTCCAAAATTTTCTGAAAAGCGGTTAAGGAGGCGAGTGTTCCAATAAATTTTATCTTACAATTTTCCACAGAAAATACCTGAACAATGCTAGTATTTTAAGTAAAACTAAAAAATAATGCGATTTTTGAGTAGATAGAATTGCTTAATAGAAGCTTTGTTAAAACTGGAATGGCCTGAAAATTTAAACGAACTTTAGAAATCTTCAGAGCGATGAGGGCGGCGAATTTTTCCTATATTTCTTTGTAAACTTTCGTTCTCTGTCCGTTTTTTAAGACGGTCTTAATTATTTTCGGTAAAAAACTGAATAAAGTTATTTGGTTTTTGTTCCAAATTAGAAGCTGCAAAGGGTTTTCTAATGTTCCTTGCAAACCGATAAATGGGGCACATTTTCTAGCAAAACTAATTTTGTGATTTTAGACTGAAAACCCTATTATTGTCAAAAAAGAAGAAAATCATCAGAAAATAAAATTTTTTGCGTTTTCGAT